CATATCACTAGTCACTGTCAGTCAAGCTCTAGTACTCAAGCAGGGAATACTCACGTGTGCACTTCGCCAGGATGGAGAGCCAGAACACATATCTCAGCCCATTTGCCCCCGCGTCTTTTCAATTCCTCCGCCATATGTCTCAGCATCTGGTTTAGTGCAGCTTTGCTCGCCGAATACGCTGCGAAGCCATCTTCATATGCCAGGAAATTGGTGGTAGACCCGGAGTCAGATGATATGAAAATTAGTTTGGAAGGAGGGTTATCCGGGTTTAGGTTGACTAGTTTCTGTGCGCAAATGATGGGGCCGATGACGTTGGTTTCCATGTGGAATTTGAAGTTATCATAAGATCTTGAAGCGCATGTTAGCAATTGTATGTGTAGGGTAACGCTTGTTGATAGGACATTACAATTCCGTTGCTCGGTTTGGGTATCTGAGGACACCTGCATTCATGACGATGTTATCAAGTTTGATTCCCTTCCTTATAAGTTCGCTCATCCTGGCAGAAAAGGCCTATACACAAAGCTGTTAGACACGATAATGAATGACTGAGAAGGACAAGTTGGGCTGACATCGATACTGTCGCTACTTGTGACGTCGCACTGCTCGAAGATAAAATTATCTGGGCTACCATGTGCTTTCATCACTGCTGATAGTCCTGGTGCGTCTGGGTTGCGAGCCACCGCAATCACTCGATTTCCTGCCTGGAGAAGCTGCTTGACATACTCAAGACCGATTCCCCGCGAAGCACCGACCACTACCCATGTCGCAGGTGTTTCGGTTGTATCTGACATGATACTTATCTGGAAGGTTATTCAGAAATTGAGTTCTGCAATGAATCTTTGGGTTCTCTGGTGTAAGTTATGATCCAATACTGGTTGCGGGAACATGGGGGGTATTTAATAAATGTCTTGCCCTGAACGATACCAAGGTTGAGATTTTATGCCCATATTTAGGTTAGCGGAAAAGTGTACTGCGGCTGCGGGGTAAGGCATCGCCCGACATATCGGTCCGGATGGTCGACCTGTATGCCCACGATTTTGACCTCTTTAACCTCGGGAATGTCAATAATAACTTCTTTAAATGCTAAGCTTATACCTCTAGATGTTGAAATCAGACGCTCTAGCTTCACACTACCTCTTGTATACGTCTAATTAAGCATATTCTCTTATTACACTCACAGGCTCCACATACTCCCCAAGAGGCTTATAAACAACACCATCATAACCAAATGCCTTCGGTCCTCCAATCTCTATACCAGACGGTGTTCGCGTCCACTGTGGTGAGCACGTAATGCCCAAGACAGTTACTCTATACCCGTACTTGAACTCCGGAACACCTAGTGCTTTGCCAGACCCATTATCCAGCACAGCAATAAGATCAGGGACAGATGCGATGATCTTGGTTTCTGAGCCGTCAGCAGCAGTGTGCTCAGCAAGAATGTTTTCGTTCTTGAATGGGATTCGCAGTGTTCCTCCTGAGACTACAGCTGTCATTCGCTCCGAATCGCCATCGTCTTGGTCATCGAATGCTTCAATGCGCAGGGAACCATGCGAGTGTCCCTTATATAATCTCCTCTCGACCTCGACAATTTTGCCTCGAAAGAGTACCCTAGCTGACTTTAAACCACCAGCCTCTTGGATGATCGACTCTGCGACTGTCGATAGCTGATTGCTGTAAACACTGCGTGCAATACATCTGCCTACCCTCCAAGCAAGAGAGCAGGTATTCAGCACGCCATATTTCCGCACGTACTCGGTAGTAGTGGGCTTAGCGGCCATACCGACTCGGCTTCCCATCTCGGAACAAGACGCTCTCAGTGCTCTGTCGACAATCTCATCGTCTGGCGCTCTAGTCATGATGATGCTCTTGCCGTCGCCGGAATCAATAGCACAGGGAACAAGTTCCAGTGGTTTATGTACCGCGAGTGTAGTCTGCCAGTATGTAGGATATGCTCGGCCCATCCAGTCGCCGTCGATCACGGGTGCATTGAAGAATCGCGAGGAGCCGACGAGCATCGGCTCCATGCCATTGGCACCTCCAATTTCTAAACCCATGACTGCGTCGATGCTCTTATGGCCGAGATACTCCATGAGCACGTTGAATGCTTCGACTGTCTCGGTTGACTGCAGTCGCTCTACCGAAACGGCAGGAGATCCCATGTGGCCGCCCCAGTAGATGAGGGCGTCATCTTTGAGGGAAGACTGGTCGATTATGCGAATAGTGTGACCTTGTCGTATGATATCCCGCAGTTGGATGAAGCTTGGAGCTGGAGTGCCACCACCCGCGCAGCCGAGCACGTAGCATCCGTCAGCCAGCCAAGCCAGATCTGTCTCATTGAGTATCCACTCAGCGACGCCCTCGTCGTTGGCCTTAATGGTAGGTGTGTATGTAAACGGATCCACAGGAATATCCTCGATAGTCTTGACAGCTCGATTCTTTTGCCCTTCAGGTTCATCACCAACTTCGTCATCATCATCTACAGCCTCGAGCTCCAACTCAGATACATAGCCCTTGAAATCGACGTCTCCCACTGCTTTAACAATAGTTCGAACTTGATGAGACACGTATTGCAGTGGAATACTCTCAACATTCGCCATAGTGATACTTTCAGGGATGGCACCAGCTTGAATGGCTCGCTCAATGGCCATCGCCTTTGCACGCTCAAGAGCCTGTGACTCTGTCTGGTGTGCTGTGCTCTGAACAATATCGACGTCACCGCTGACACGAGAGATAGCAGCACCAATGGCATTGGCTACATCGTGGAATGGCGGGAGGATGACCTTTGAAGCACCTGAGATATCCTCTGGTGCAAGCACAGCACCTCCGCCTACCAGAAGGACGGGCAGCGGATCAGCAGAGGTCTTGATGACATCAACAGCTCCATCAAGTAGCACCTTGATGCAGTCTTTGGCGCATTGGACAAACTCGGGTTTCAGGTTAGCGAGCCTGCTCTTATCACCCATATTTGCTCTTCCAAGGGCAACAGCGATATCAGATGCCGTGCATGTATTGCCACCAAACACAAGAGCTTCTTCAACAAGGTAATGACCAACCGACTCAGGCCCAACCTTGACTTTTCCATCGACACTGCGCACGAGTGAACCACCGCCAAGTCCAACAGAGTGTAGATGGGGCATTGAATAATTCACCCTCACTCCAGCAACTGTGACGTAGGCGGAAGCTTGTCTTGGAAGTCCGCTTGGTAGAATCACGCCGATGTCAGCTGTAGTTCCACCAATATCCACGACGATGGCCGAAGAGTTGCCGCCAGCGTCGATCCCAGCCAAGTATGCAGCTCCCCTCATGGAGTTGGTTGCTCCAGAGGCAAAAGTCCTAATGGGTATCCTAGCTGCAGCTGCTGCATCGAGGGTAGTCCCGTCGTTCTGAGTAATGAACAGTGGACATGTCAGGTTGAGCTTTTTCTTGGCCTGGTTGAACCTCTTCATTGTTTTTCGAGCATATTGGAGGATAGCAGCATTGAGGATGCTAGCGTTTTCGCGCTCGAGGAAGCCAATGTTCGCCACCTCATGTGAGCAAACGACATCGATTCCGGGAATTTCTCGTATGATGATGTCTCTGACGCGACTCTCTTGCTTGAATACCTCGTCGATCGGAGAAAAGACGCCAGCAATTACAACAGTTTTCAGATTCTCTGCCTTGATCTTTTCGCATTCAGCCACTACTTGGGCTTCTTTGACAGGTGCTTCTTGAGACCCATCAATATGCAGGCCTCCATCAATGATCCCGCAGTATCCCTTGATGATAGCGGCCAGATCGGGCGGAAAGTCTGAGAACGGAGGTACTTCTCGGAGAAAAGAACGTGACAGTCTCAAGACGCCGACCTTTTGAAGTCGTCGGGCATCTCTCTCCACGACTGCATTGATGAAGTGTGTTGTGCCGACTGTGATGCTCGCTATGCGCTGAGGAACTATGTTGCCAGATTCAATGACGGCTCTAACAGCGGTCTCGATTCCAGCGGTCGCATCGGGTGTGGTTGGGGTTTTCTTGAAGGCGATGACTCCGCGTTGAGAGTCGCCTTGGGCAGCGAGGGCGACGTCTATGGCGACGGCGTCGGTGTTGGTGCCACCGACGTCGACTCCTATGCGTATAGTTTTATTCAAGGTCATGACGAGTAAAGGTTGGAGCTTTAAATCTGGAGTCTATACAGCGCTCCGGTGAAAAGAAACTTGCGAGTGAGAATATCCAATGCGTTTCTCATATAACAGAGTCTCTCACATCATTGCTATGTACCATAGAGAGTGGAGCCCACGTTTAGCTTCCATGAACCTCAAGGTTACATTCGTCTGCGGGGTTTCTACTCATATCTCGAAGATAACGTTGCGGGGTTGAATGAACTCCTCTGAAGTTTCTTGATTCCTCAAACGGTGCAATTGACCCGAGCAAGTGGTTCCCCTATCTTCGGTCAACTTTTGTCGGGATGAAACAATCCGAGAGTGTTGATCATGGTCAATTATCAGGCTAAATGCCGCGGCATCTCCAGATCAGGAATGCCGACACGGCAATTGATGCCGGGCTCTATATTATCTCTCTATCTATAACTTATCTTGGTCTGCCTATGTTTTACCAACAAATCGGATAATTTCCCTTCTCATTAAATTACCCGTATGTCTACAAGGCCATTTGTGATACGACAGTTTGGTTCCGGGCTCCGGGCTCCGGGGTCTCATCTGCCGGACCGGATATGAGTTCTTCTTCTGGAATGGAGTTACACAGGACTCAACTTAAGTAGGACGAGATGGTTCGAATCATTATCTGTCGGTTATGAACCCCTCTTTTTGGGCATCGCACAATGTAACCCAACCAGACGGTAGTGGCAATGATTGCTTGCCTAGCTTGCTTATTATCAAGACATCCAAAATGATAAGGGACCTAATAAAATGAATGAGAACCGACCGAGAGTATTGTGATCGGAAGGGTTCACCTCAAGAGGACCAAGTTCCAATATCCATCACTCCGACGTAAAGAGATCCCCTGCCAGTATGTCGCTCAAAGCCATCTTGACCTGGACGAGACTGCCTAGCGCAGATAGAGCCGTCTCCAATGTCTGGATCAATGACGACATCCGCCCGCTGGAGCCAGAGCGTCGAACATGGAACACCATGACCTTTATATCTTTCTGGTTGGTCAACCAAGTCGCCAGTAAGCCGCCACCCTCAAGTTCTGTAGACTTACATGTAATTTGACACCCATCTAGTATCCAACTGGCAACTGGGCGCTTCTCTCGTCGCCACCGGCCTTAGCGTCTGGCAAGTCGTCATAGCCACCTTGATTGGTAAAGTCATCATCAGCTTGGTCGCTATCTTCAATGGCTATACAGGTGCTGAATGGCACATTGGCTTCCCTGTCGTTTCAAGATATATCTGGGGTCCATACGGATCTTTCATTGCCATCGTGCAGAGGATTATTCTCAGTCTGGTATGGTTCTCTGTGCAGTCGTGGACAGGCGGTCTCTGCATCTCTGTCATATTGTCCGCTTTGTTTCCAAGTTTCCAAAGACTGGGAAACGTATTTCCTGCATCATCTCATCTCGATACGAAGCAATTCGTTGGCTGGATTCTCTTCAATGTCTCCATGATTCCAGTTCTGTGGATCCACCCTCACAAGATCAAGAGAGTTCTTCTTATTTTCAACATCATTGCGTCGGTCACGCTGATTTCTATCATGATCTGGTCGCTGGTTGAAGCCAAAGGCGGTGGCCCTCTGCTTTCTGAGAGTGCAACAAAGATGAGCTCTCATGACCTTGGCTGGGCTATTACGTCAGGTGTAACAACTGTTATTGGTGGCATAGCAGTTGGACTGACTAATGCAAATGATTACACCCGGTTTGCTCAGAAGCCTGGTGATCAGGTGTTTGGGCAGTGGTTTTCCATCATGTGAGTTACAACAATAACAGGGATCTGTAAGTGCAGCAACTTATACATCTATAGCTTTTTCGGCACTCTGTTTCCTCTCTTTGGTTGCCTCGCAGCATCGGCCACTCAGGGTATCTGGGGCGAGGCTATCTGGAATCCTCGTAAGTCCCATTCTCTAGCACCTCCTCATTTAGTCCATCATCACTAACCGTCTATCAAGCGTTGATCTGCCAACAATGGCTCGACAGAGACTACTCCTCTAGTTCAAGAGCCGCCGCATTCTTCGCGGGCCTAGGCCTTGTAATGTGCCAGATTGCCATCAACGTAGTTGACAACGCATACAGTGCTGGCATGGATCTCGCCGGTCTCGTCAGCTCCTACATCAACATCAGACGAGGTGCTTTCATTGCACTAGTCTTGAGCGTTGCCATGTGCCCGTGGGAGCTTCTCTCTTCAGCCAGCGTCTTCATCTCCGTCCTTTCTGCGTACAGTGTATTTCTTGGGCCGATCATTGGCATTCAAGTCTGCGATTACTGGCTGATCCGTTCCCGCCGCATCAAGCTCTCCGATCTCTACAACCCTGGTCCTACCAGTATTTATTGGTTCAGCTGTGGCTTCAACCCCAGGAGCTTCATTGCTTGGTTCCTTGGCTTTGCGACTCAATTGCCTGGATTTGCTGCTGCTGTAACTCCTGATAAAATCAAGGTTGGCGAGGCTTGGCACGAATTGTTTTATCTTGCATTCCCGCTGGGGTTCGCCATCTCATTTACTGTTCATTACGCTATCAATCGTGTGTTTCCGCCCGCTGGCTTGGGGCTCGTTGACGACATGGACTACTTCGGATCCTTTACTGAGACTGAAGCCCTCAAGTTGGGTATGGGCCTAGGATCGGAGGGAAGTGAGAAAGACGCTGTGATTCAAGGCGTCCCTGTTCAAACAAAGAGTTAATTATGCGTATACGTCTTTGGAATGCTTAAAGCGGAGAGGGAAAAGCTGATCTTGCATATAATCATAAGATTTTGTCTTGAAAGGATTCATCCACTTCTGATTTTCCTTGTATCCCCCTCTTTGGGTGCCATCGTGTTGCCAAGACGTAAGCATGGTATGATTTATTACGGATCAAGGAGCTTGACTACCGATAATACAGTGAGATATATATTTCAATCACACTCCACTATCTCACACCGCCACTTTGCATTTCATTTTTGCTTCGCTTATTCTACCACTTATGTACTGTCTGTCTATTGTCGTATAATGCTACCATATCAAAGCAATTTGACACTTCAACTACTATATCAGCCTAGCCTTGTATCTCCTCAACAATATAGAACAAAAAAGAAAGAGACGACAACTAACAATGTCGGACTACGATGCCTTCGACCGCAACATGCGAGCTTCTGTTAAGCGCAACGGTGAAATCGACGACGTTCGCTACTGCAATCTCATGCTTCCTCGCAGCGGCCCCGAGTCTCCCGGGCCTCATTCCGATGTGAAAGGACTAATGTCATGGCCGCGTATCTGCGGCGTCTTGACTGACGAAGAGATTGCTCACACGATAGAGACAGATTCATCGTGGACGTCTAAACCGCGCGGATGTCGACTGCGCATTACGGTCACAGATCAGGAATCTGATGATGACTCTGATGTCCTCTTGGATGAGGAGGATAAAAGGGGACCTTGGGAGTCGCACGAAATTCCTGGCAAAAACAGGAGGAGGGCGGACCTGACCTCGGTCGACCCAATCGTGTGCCTGGATGCTAGTGGCGTTGGTACCTCATATGTGCTGAGCCTAGGGCTGCTGATCAAGACGCCATCTTTGGGCCGGGTGACGGAGGTGGTGCTGGAAGAGAATACAAAGAAGACCCTTGCGCAGGTGCCTCCGGCGTGGACGAACTACAGCTTTATCACGCTCGCTAAAGTGTTCAGTATCATTGCTATCGCACTAGAACGTGTAGAGTTCCTTGGCATCCACTCAGAGATGGGAGAAGCGCTAGGGAAAGCGAGATTAGAGATTCAGGAAGAACTCTTGAGAAGCCTGGAGGCTCACAAGAACGATACAAACACACTACAGATTGCAGCACCCGTGCTACCGTTTCTGCCACTTGATAAAATCTGTGGTGGTAGGCAACTTCTGAGCTTGAAAAGCTTACAAGGGCTCGTCTCGAGGGTTGTGCCTTATTATGCCGTTGCCCCGAGGGTTGAGGTGCATGAGGGCTCATGTGGATGTTTACTACCTGGGGGTATGACAGAAGGAGACAAGGGACCCGGTATCTCTGAAGTCAAAACCACTCCAAGGAGATTCTATGACGCCTTGCAGAGTAGCGAGGCCGATCTCAAAGACAAAATAGTGACCAGACCGGTGGATGAACCGGTGGAGAGCTACATAGCACTCTCGTACCCTTGGAACTCGTACAGTTCTCAAGATCTGGAAAGGATCATTGGCATAGTCCATGAGGTATTGAAGCACCGCTACTTCTGGGTCGACCGATGGTGCATAGACCAAGACAGCTACGAGGACAAAGAAACCGAGGTACCCAAGATGAAAGACTACTACTCGAACGCTGAGTATACTCTGATCCTTCCTGGCATGACATTCCCACTCGAACTTGCACAGCTGAAGGCAGAGGGCCCTAAAGTTCGGGTATACAGCCCAGAGCTAGTTCAGCAGGTCAAGCAGACATGGGAGAGCTGCGAGTGGAGAAAGCGCTGCTGGACATTGCAGGAAGCCATCATGAGCAAGCACTGCACCTTCTGGACAGGTCAAGAATCAGCCCCCCTGATCGATTGCTCACAGCTCGTGGGAGTTTTATGCAGTTCGCCGTTTGGTGACAGCTATATAAATACCCTCCCTCACCTGTCAATGGAAGTAGGCCATACGGACGAAAAAACCTTGGTGGCCATGGCAGCGACGATAGCGGACCCGACAGAGGAATCTGTATATCAGAGGGCAATAGTCAGATGTTCTACTCACGGCACCATCCCAGACGCGAATGCTTGCAAACGTCCTTTGGCAGTGCTGCTGGACAAGTTGCGCGGGCGGGAAGCGACTCTAGAGCTGGATGAGTACTACAGCCTCTTCTCCATGGCATCGGATAAGCTTCCCGCTGTTGATTACCGAATCGACGTTGTTCAACTCGTAGAGAGACTCTTGGGTACTGGTGCTCTAGGTGCCAATATCTTATTGACAAGCACTAGGCGAGACAGTGTTGTCAATAGGAGTTGGGTGCCTAAAATTTGCGCACAGCGACAATTCTCAATGATGGGAGATGGTATAAACGCGGCGCATCCGCAAATCTCTGATGGTGTAATGGTAGTCGCTGCATTTCCAGTTAGGATGAAGACTGCAGATGATGGCAGCAGCGACTACTTTGCTGAGGGCACCAAGATTTACATGGTGTACTCCTACCCAGCAGAAAAGCCCTTTGATGTTGACATGGACTTTACTATACGTCGGAGACTGAAGAAGGCGAGCCAATATCTCTTCATACAGCCGGTGCAGTGGGATTTCTCAGTGTTCACCAGTGGTTTAATACTCTTGGCCACTGAGGAAAAGCAACCAGGAGAACACCGAGTGATGGATGCTACTATCATGGACAACATGACACAGCATACATTTTTGCAAAACCGCCATTTTCATGATGGCAAACCATTTCGTCTTGTCTAGTTAAAGACTGTGTATAGGTCGAAAAAAAGGATATGGGCTTTATGATGGGGACTGTCGTTACAGCTGGCTCGACTGCCAAGCTTTACTGTACAGTAACAAAACAGCCGATACGCGCGCCTAGCATCATGGCAATCCATTGTTTGGCAATACTTTCATGACAGGCCTAGGGTGAAGGAAATCGATAGTTTAGATGATGCGATAGAATTTCAACTAATCATATCTATAATTCTAACCACTTCGGTATCACATGAGGCTAAGCAGCGGGAAAACTGGTTATACGCGGCGGCCTCCCACAATACAAACACTTTATAGTCCAGGCCACCATTGCAGTATAATAGGGGGCTTGAGATGAGCGCGTTGAGAACGCTTCGCGCTTTGATCGCGCAGGCGGGGTATGCAGTAGAGAGGCTAAGAATAATAGCTCGTTTACGGGGAGGGGCTGAGCCGATGAACAGCATTAGGAGTGAGTACGCGCTTCCGGTGGACGAAAGCTCGCTTTTCATTCAGCGGCGTGGAACCGGAAACTGGGTTCTATGGGCTACTAGTGGACGCGGCACGATCCGGCCGCTGGTAGACCAACCCAAGGCCGGGGGAAACGCACTCTTAGATACACGGCCGGACCCCCTCCCTCAAAAACCCGGGCTCCACCAAGATCGATAGAATCCAAGCCGAGAACAAGCTAAGGTTAGGCAATAGCCTGCACCACTTAGGGTGAGATATGGCTGCAATTGCATGTGGTCCATAAATAGACAGGCCCATCTTCCTAGTTTCTCAATCCATTATTCCAGAAACCACATTCCGCAAAATCTCTTAAAAGCAAATCTCTAGCATCTTTACAATGGCACTCAATAACGACCTCAATAACAAGGCTGGTCTTGACACCGTCACCCAAGAAGAACATGAGGACATTACGTTCACCTTCGCGGCTCTGGCTGACCCTGAAGCCGCCTCTGATTCGGCCAGTGTACTGGCTGATGCCGCGGACTTTGATTCAAGCAACTTGACCAATAACGTCTTTTACATCAACCTGAGCCCCAATACTGAGTCACTCAATGACTATTGGCGGCAAAGGCTCAAAGCTGCGACCGAGAACGTCGATATGAGTAGCGGTTTCTTCAATGAGAAGGCCTCCAGGACCCTGAATGATGTCCTTGCTGGAGGGCAAATTTCCCCCAAGGATGAAATCAAGAAGGCGAGCTATTTTGCCAAGGTGATCAATCATCTAAACACGAACGCTCCATGGTACGTTGGCTTCTAATTTATCACCAAAATTCACAGTTAAACTTGCCCATGTATTTCAAGGCTAATAAAAGGTGTCACACAGGATCAATACCCATGCCGTCAACATGTAGGAGACGAACTTCGTTACTAAGAAGGAAGACTTGCACAAAGCCCTCATTTCGCACTTTACACAGGGTCTGAACCTCCCAAACAACGTTCTGGATAAGTTCGAAGGGTTCCTGGCCAACGTCCAGAACACAATCAAGAACTCGCCGACACCATCCAGAGAAGGCATTACAATCTATATCTATGCTGTGATTTACGTCAAAGATGAAATGATCCAGCAGTGGCAACCTTGTAAGTCCCCCCGTAGCAGCCAACAAACTAAGAAGAGAGGTGAGCTAATATTGTTACGCGCAGATATTCGAACCATCTCCTTTAAGGCCAGTCAGAGCCTGAGCACCTACGTAAAGGATAAGAACAGCCAGAGTACTGGGAGCCAAGTTAATGTCGACTTCCAGTACGTTCAATTTGACGGCTCTTTTAACAATGATCTCTTCGAGAGGTCTGCTAAGCCTGCTCTTATGCAAGTCCAGCGAGGGGGAACTACTATAAAGCCTTTAAACATTACCTTTGATGGTAATTAGGTTCTTCTTTAACTGCGCATCAATATCAAACTTCGTAACCTAAACTCAGCTTGTACTCTGGGTGTCTCTGTTAATTCCTGTCATACACAACAGGTAGCTCCACTACTGCTACCAATCAGCTACTACCTCTCGGATCCCCGAACCTTTCCCTGTTGATCTAAGTGCATTCTCGCCACTCCACACTATCGAATTCACTAAACAGATTTATTGCAATAGTTTAATGCATGTCTTTGTTTTAGTTAGAAGTTCCTTGGCACACTCGGCTTCCAGACAAGTAATAGACTAACCGCTGCACGGCTTCGGAAAATCGCAACACTTTACCATGAAGGGGCAGGCAGCAATGTCTGTATCCAGTGAGCTTCAAAGCGTCTTGATAATAGACTTTCTGAACCTCAGTGAAGTACAGTGACTTGTCTCCCCTGCAAATATTCCGTCAGAAAGTGTCATGGGCTTACTACTGTTATCGTCGTCATACAAGTGCCAACCTTGGATTAAAACCGATCGGCGTTCTAGACTCTTAGTGCCTGGGGAAATTTTGTTCAAGTGGCTAGCTGAAACGCTACGCTATCGGTCTCCCGAGCTAGCTAGTTCACATAAGAGTCATAGCGCTAACAGAAATCCGAGGGCGTTCAATTGTAGATTTCTGTAGGCTATGGTTTGACTGTACTAAGAGTTCAGCTGAATACATCTCGCCAAGCTAGCCACTGTCTAGGAGCGAATTACTGAGCGGAGCATATGCATATGCATCTTGCACCGCGAACAGAAGTCACAAGGGAAGACTTTGGGCACAGTTTGGAATGGAATGGTCTAGATCATGTTAGTTCTTGCGAGGCATATACCCACCGAAACCTGGCGTTCCAACCCAACCGATTAGGGGGCTGAACACCGTTTGCCACAAGACGAACTCTTTCTTGGCAGACGCTTCTTCTCAGCTCTGCGCAACTGCACTGGTAATTTTGAAGGCGCTGATTCTTCTTCCAATACACTTTATCTGAGCTTTTCACAAATATGGCCTCGTCAATCAGTATCAATGGCGTCAAAGTGGAGCTTAGCCATGACTGTGATGTATCAGAAACCAACTACATTATCCTTCGCACCAAGGGCATGCCCCTGAATAAAAAGCAAAAGACGAAGCTCCTAGAACTAGGGGTCCACGTCAATGAGTTCGTCGGTGACGAGAAACAACAGGTCTACCTTTGTGGCTTCCATAAAGACTCACTCACTGAGATCCAGGATCTGGACTTTGTTGAGTACGCGGGTGAGTACGTTGAGGAATTTGCCCTGACCAAAAAGGTCCAGCAGGACGCAAAAGGACAAGCCTGTAATGTAGCAATCATGCTACACCAGGACGTGGAGGGGATCACTGAAGAGTTGACCCAAAAAATAGCGGAAGCGGCCAATGTCGACCCATCTGCAATTGTTGTAGAGGACGGAGGACTTCAGATCAAGGTTGCGACGGACAAGTTGGATGGGATAGCAGCCCTGGATGAAGTCCGGGTGCTTCATACAGCTAACGAAGCTGCTTTGTTTGATACAAAAGCTCGTCAGATTCTCCGAGTTGACGAGGCCCTGGCACCCAAAAGTCACCCGGAAACCCAGAATATTGTTTATCGAGGCGAGGGTCAGATAGTCTGCGTTGCAGATACTGGCTTGGATCGTGGCTCCAAGACCAACGTCCACGAAGCATTCAGTGGACGAGTCAAAGAATTATTTGCTTGGGGTAGACCTGAGACAAACCTCGCAGATGACTTAGACGGCCACGGCACCCATGTTTGCGGATCGGTCCTTGGTTCAGGCCAACATCAATCGCATGGCTTGGTCGAAGGTGTAGCACCCGGAGCAGAGCTACTCGTGCAATCGCTGTTTGGCAAGTTCAATCCCCTGAACAACGCACCTCGGCTTGATGGACTGCCCAAGACGAACTTGGCTCCGCTCTTCCAGCAGGTTTACGATGCAGGCGCTCGAATCCATACCAACTCGTGGGGATCTCCGCTACCTATGTCGAGGATTCAGCAACCCTATGATGGACGTTCAGAGAGCATCGACCAATTTGTCCTTGACAACCAAGACATGACGATTCTTTTTGCAGCTGGCAACGACGGTCAGGATGCTGATCTGGACGGCAAGCTTGATGGGGCAATTAACGAGCGGTCGTTGGGCGCAGAAGCAGCTGCAAAGAACTGCATTACGGTTGGAGCGACAGAGAATGATCGACCCGACCTCGCTTCTGGCGACTCCAAACGTCCTTACACATATGGAGGGTTCTGGACCCAGAGATTTGCCGTCAATCCACTGCGTGACGACCACATGGCCAACAATCCAGATGGATTGGCAGCCTTTAGTAGCCGCGGACCAACAGCAGAAAATAGGCTAAAGCCAGACATTGTTGCTCCTGGTACAGCTATTCTCTCAGCACGCTCCCAGAATAAGAAGTATCTTGGAGGAGTTCATCTCACTGGAGAGTCTGGGGATAGCAAGTACATGTACTTGGCCGGAACGAGCATGGCTACGCCACTCGTGGCAGGTTGCTGCGCTGTTCTTCGCCAGGCCCTGATTGCCAATGGATATCTGGATGAGCAAGATGGAGTCAAGAACCCTACTGGCTCTTTGATCAAGGCCCTGCTTATCAACGGAGCGGCTCCAGTTGGTGGTCAGTACATACCCGACGGGGTTAACGAAGGGTACAATGCGCACTCTGGGTTTGGACGAGTTGACCTCTCTGCATCAATCCCCCGAATCAATGATAATTACTCTGGCTATGGTATTGGGGTTGTTGATGAAGACGACGAGAAATCCTTCGAATACACGGTGAACATTCCGAAACCGCTAGAGGGAGACAATAGCTCTTTGACTGTGAAAGTCACCATGGTGTATGCAGATCGTCCAGGAGGCAAGCTTCAGCATGACCTGAACCTCGTGGTTGCCAGCGGCGAGCTCGAATACCATGGTAATCAAGTGAACCAGTCGTTTCCACTTGGTGCCGCTGAGGGATTTGATCGTCATAATAATGTCGAGCAAGTTGTATGGCACGATATTCCCGCCGGATCAGCACGCATAATTGTAAAGCCATTCCGTTTCATGGACGAGCGAGTGCCTTTTGCTTACGCATGGAGACTTTTCAAGTCAATTTGATCTTATAACCTTTAGTTTGGTCAATATATATGAGTTTTACGATGGGAGCGCCTTCAAAGGCTGTCATCACTACGGGGATCGGGATCAATGTTGAAATAGGCCATAAGCACACTGGATCAAGATGCTTCCATTAAAGTTAATCTTCTCTTAACTCTTCTTACGGCTGTAGCTGCCATTATGCATCTACCGGATAGTTTTACCTATATCTAATTTACTAACGAAGACCCTTATTTAATACTCTTGCTTTTTTAATTGACTGTAACTATTTAGAGTAAGTAACCTTCGTCTTTATGGAGGCTATACGGACGCTTCTCGTAGTGAACGACATATTCTATCCCAACATTCCTCGTAGATGTTCTGCGCCTCCGAGCTCCCCTCCTTTGGTCTGACCGAGAACCCGTGAGTGCCACCTCCGAATTCATGGAAAGAGACTTCCTTGTCGCTTTTCGTAAAATTTTGCGCATAACAGAAGCCCTCCTCTTTGAGACAATCCAGGCTGCCGGTGAAGAGTAAAGCAGGCGGTATATCCAGTTCACGGAGAAGTTCTATGCTAGCAGCGACAGGAGATACAAAGACGTCGTCCTTGCAGATTCTTGGCGGCAAGTATGACTGTTCCATTGCTTGGGCCATCCAAGTAGGTAGGCTATGCTTCTGGGCGTCGGTAGTAGAGCGAGAGAGCCTGAGGTCGTATGGCAAGCGCAGTTCGAGGCTGGGGTAAAGCATGAAATGCATGACCTGTTTGAAGTCCAGTGGTAGGCGCTCCCTGAAGGTGTAACAAGGACCACTTCGAAAGGACAGCAGTAGAGATAAAGATGCGGTTAAATTGCCACCGGCAGAGTTTCCTCCAATCGCTACTCGTGAAGGATCAACACAGATGCCTTGACAGGCAGCTGGGCACGTCAGAGCCCAACGCAGGGCTTCATAGGCCTGCAGCAACGCGTGTGGATACGGGTATCGTGGCGCTTTGGCGTAATCAACCGACATGACGATTGCTCGGGTCTGCGCTGGTATCAGGCCGGAGTGGCATCCGTGCGTAGTGTAGTGTAGGCAACATACCTGATCAACAATTCGACGATTATTTAACCTTCCATCTTTAGGATGTCTAAAGACAAAACCTCCGCCTTCGAGAACTAACACCAGTGGATGTTTTGGCTCACTTCCGTTGGTAGATCGGGGTAGCCACACGTTGCAGATAACATGCCCTGCTCCCAGTCCCGGGGTGTCGATTTTGATTTGTAGATCATGACCCTCATTCAGACCAGTCAGAAATGATACAAGCTTGTGCACAGTCCAAGCGAGGCAGTTGAGGTAGATTCGATAGAGAAAGGGCCATTCAGCACCGTCTTTTACGGTGGGTATACTAACACGGGCCTGCGGAGTGGTCATGATGCAATGAAGGTGTGAAAGAGGTCTGAACTGATGTGAGTAATTGAGGGGAAATTATAGGTAGTAAAGCTACTGAAGTCCAGTTGGAGCTGGCACTAACTTACGTCAGTGCGCTGACACAGCGGGCGGGTGAGATTTACACCCGAGGGATAGAGCGTATAATATGGACAGTGCAAGATGTGAGAATAGGTATTATAGGAAATAAAAATAAGAATATCTAAATAGGAGAAATACAGCTGCTTTAAATCCCAGATCAATTCACCCCCATCGCCTCCCGGATCTTCGCACAGAGGGCCGACGCAATCGGCTCCCTCATCATAGTAAAGTGATTGGCATTCTCAATCGCCATTGTGCCAATGTTCTCAGGACCAATAAACTCGTCCCAACCATTCGGCCCAAAGTCCTCCCTGTTATTCAAGAGCCAATTCATTCCCCGAGGATCATCAGGCTGTGCCTCAGGACGAGGATCATCAGGGTTCTTGCACACGCCGTCTGCAGCCCAGATGATGGTCGTCTTGGGTGCCATGCCATGCTCAAACGGTTCGGGCACGTACCTATCCAGAGCCTCGATGAAGACACAAAAGTGCTGGAAGAGCCAATCTGGTGGTGCTTGAGCTTCCTCACCCATCTCGAAAGCGCCAAAGATACCTGACTTTTCGAGGAAGTCGTACATACGCTTTGGTAGCTTGCCGAGACCGACGGGGTTGGGTGAGTCAATCAGGATGAGGCTCTCGACTACCTCTCCCTCGGAGACGAGTTGTCGAGCGGCGTCGAAAGCTGATACGCCTCCCGCTGACCAGCCGGCAAGATGGTAAGGACCTGAGGGTTGGCGACGACGTACTTCGTTCAAGTAAGAGCCAGTGATGTCTTGCAGAGCACAGTTGAACTCATGCGGCTTGGTGAGGTACGGACTGTTCAATCCAATGACTCTCATATCCGGCGAAATGGACGGGAGAGTGACGTAAGAAGTTGCCGAGCCAGCACCGTCAGGGAAGAGGAAGAGCGTTCGCGAACAGTGTTTGGTGCCCTGCAAGATCGTAGAGGTCGAGCGAGGAATCTCAGCTACAACGGGCTTGACCTCAACGACATCGTCCCCATGGTCACTGGGGGATGTTGAAGCAGCACTAGACGCGGAACTCTCTGCCTCAGAGTTTGAGCTTGAGAAATCTTGGTCGTTGGCTCCAAGGAAGGACTTGAGATCCTGAACGGTCGAGAACTCGTAGAACTGTGCTGCGGGTATGTCCAGGTCAAGCTCTTCTCGGAAGTTGCCAAGGATGGTCAAGGACATGAGTGAATCGACGCCCAGGTCGGCCAAGAGTGTAGAGTCAGTGAGGTCAGAGATATCGACGCCAATCTCATCGGCAATGATCTCGAGAGCCTTCTGAACAAGACCAGAAGCAGAGCCAACCGGCGATTCTGTTTGTTCGGGAGGCGATACTGTGCCAAGACTATGGCTAGTGGTGGATGGGGGAGTAAGAACAGCGTGTTTGATGGGCTCGGGAGCAACATGCTTGACAGCACCATGCTTGGCCTTTGCGCCAGAAGGCTTGGGAAGAAGCATCTCCAGTACCTTGCGAGCGACCTTCTTGAAGGTGACGCCACCACAGATACCGATGATCTTCCCATCACGAAGAACATGGACATCTCCACTGTAAGTTGAGTCGTCAGAGCCAACAGCCTGCATCTTGACGTATGTCTGATACTGAACATCGCACTGATAAGGCTCGACCAGACGAAGAGTGCGCCAGCCATGGTTGATGTAGACGTGATCATCGAGATCCAAGCTATCGCTGCAGTTCATGATGAAGCCAGTGATATGACCTAGGCTGTCACAACAATACGGGTTGAGCGCAAAGGTATCCTTGCCAGAGGGCATGAAGACCTTGCCAGTTCCTTCGAGACCTTCACTGTCGAACCAAACCTGCTCGATGCCTTGGAAAGCAGACCCGTATTGGACTGAGTTGGAGAAGATCTTGTACAAGAGGCCACGACGCATCATATGGGCAGAACCATCACTGGCACCTTGGACAAGCTGTTTGATGCCTCGCTGGATGAGGTAAGCGTGGCTCTGCCAGCTTTCGCGGTGGGTGCTCGGGTTCTCGACCGCGACATCACAGACTGCGTGGAGAGTAGTCTGCTTTCCGCTTGCATTGACGCTGAAGATACGAACTGAGCCATGCATGGAAGTCCAGTCCATGTCAAGCGATGCTCGGAACAACTGAGGCCCAGTCTCTCCGACGATGAGAGCCTTTTCGACGGCCATGTTGTTGATGGAGGGTAGGTTCGTCTGTGTGTCGAGGCCGTGGTTCTCGATGAGGTGCTTGGCGAGGGTGAATGCGATGTCGGCGAAGAGAGTCTGAGAATTGTAAAGCCAGTGAGTGAGTCCAACAGAAGTGCGAGCGAGGAGGGACTAACCGAAGGAGCCATAGTCAAATTGTTGACACGATGGTTTTGCGCAATGGCCAAGAGAGATGGGTCATGCATGTCAGACTCACCAGTGATGGAGCTTCTCTTGTCACCATGAACCTGCTCAATGACATTGTGCACTGAATCGCTGAGTCGCAGTGCTCTCGCCTGCACGGGTACACCAATTGCAGTGGTCTCGACAGGTTCATCGCCTTTGGTAAGACACCAGCTGTACTTGTACTGCATCCAGTAGTTTGCAAGCTGCCAGCTATACTTGGGAAGCTGAAGAACATTGCGAGATGAAGCAAAGTCACGATGATACTCGTCCCAGTTAACAGAGAAGCCAGCCAGATGCAAGGCGCAAAGAGAGTCCGCAAGTGTCTTGAAGTGGTCCTCCTTGCGGCGGAGAGAGGCAAGGCATCGGAACTCTTGGCCAATGATCGACTTGACCATTCGCGTGAGGATGGGATGCGCTCCGATCTCGATACACATACCGCTTCTGTCCATGATGCCTTGTGCTTCAGCCATCTTGATAGCACTGAGGAAGTCAACGGTCTCACGGCAATGACGGCGGATGTACTGGGGACCGAGGGTATCGCCGGTGAGCAGTGTACAAAGGAGAGGCGAGACGATGGGCAGCTTGGGCTCGTGGAACTCAACCTGAGAAGCCAGTTCTTCAAGATCATCTAGAATGGGATCGACCTGGGATGAGTGGAAGGCAAACGGAATCTCCAGCTTGTGCAGCTTGTAGCCAGCCTGAGTCAACTTCCCGCAGAGCGACTCGATATCCGCATTGGGACCGCTGAGGACAGTGTCTTCAGCGCCATTGACACAAGCAATCTCGACCTTCAGGTCAGAGGAGATGTGCTGCCTCAAGTCATCAGCCGCGGCTTTAACAGCGACCATGCCGTGCGTGTAGGCAGTACACTTCTTATCAAGAAGCGCTGCCCTGTGACCACAGAGGAATATGGCATCGTTGACGCTGAGAACGCCTGCAATCTGGAGAGCAGCATACTCGCCCAGACTGTGTCCGATGACATACTGGGGAGTAATACCGAGGCTGATGCAGAAACGGGCGAGCGCGATCTGAATGATGCAAGTTCCGAGTTGCACGATAACTGCAGACAGATCCTCAACGGGTGTCGTGCCATGAATAAGTGGAAGGACAGATGGGAGACCTTGAAGAGTTGCGATAGAGTCAAGCTGGTGTATATCCGATCGGAAAGAGGAGAAGCTTTTGTAGTACCCAATGGCCATGGCAGTCTCCTGCGCTCCCTGTCCGGTAAACAGGAACCCGACCTTGGGCGACACCGCCGGAATGCCCTTGACCTGACCAGCGGCGGCAGAAGCCTTGAGAAGTGACTTTCTCAAGTCATCAAGACCGTTGGTGACAAACGCAACGCGTCGACTGTGGTGCACACGCCGAGCAGTAGTGGTGTACGAAAGCTGGGAGAGAAGGTCACCCTCCGGAGCCCAAGAGTTGGCGATGAAGGCCTCGAGAGCCTTCAAGTTCTCTTCCAAAGCCTTGGTAGAACGCGCCGAAACAGCAACGACATGCTCAGTACGAACATCTACATCTTGATGCTGTCGTGCAGGATGAACAGCAGGAGCATCCTCAAGCAGCAAAGACGTGTTGCCACCAGCAGCAGAGAAATTGTTAACCAAGACTCTGCGCTTACCACCCTCAGGACGAGTCCATTCCACGCTATCCTTCAACGCAATGCGCACACCACGATGATCCAAATCCTTAGGAAAGCCCTGGTTGATCTTGGTCTTGATGCCGCAGTGCGGAGGGATAGTGTTCTTTTGCATCATAAGCAACACCTTGATGATGGCGAGAACGCCAGAGGCTGATTCAGCGTGTCCGACGTTTGCTTTGACTGAGCCGAGATATAAACTCTTGTCTCGCGGGCGGCTGTGATCGAAGGCGAATGAGTTGAGGACTGAGCGCATCTCAACTGCGTCGCCGGCTTGGGTGCCTGTGCCGTGCATCTCGACGTAGCTAACATCGTGAGGGTGGATACCAGTCTCGTTGAGGAGTTTCTTGAAGAGGTACTCCTGTGCGTCTGCGAGGGGTCGGGTGATGGAGACGGATTCTGCTGAGTGGTTGGTGTGAGCTCCGAGGATGACACCAAAGATGGGATCACTGTCTGCGATGGCGTCTGGGAGGCGCTTGAGAATCAAAGTGCCAATTCCATCAGCACGGCAGTAACCGTCTGCACCATCGTCAAACGCTTTGCAATTGCCAGTGCGAGAAAGGAAGTGCCCGCGATCGAGGCCTGCGAAGTTGTCCGGGTTCGTCATGACGTTAGTCCCGCCAGCAATCGCAGTATCGCAATCTCTGTTCTTCAACGACGTGATCGCAAGGTTGATCGCCGCGAGACTCGAAGAGCAAGCAGTATCAACGGCGATACTCGGGCCCGTAAACTTGAAGAAGTAATTGACCCGTCCAGGAATAAAGGCACGATTCGCTCCAGGAATGTAGTACGTATCAACATCCTGCGAGGAGTTCACCTCACCCCAATCATTACTCGTGGTACCGTAATAAACGCCCACGCGGTTCCTCTGGGTAGAGGGAGTTCGGTCAGGTACCACTCCAGCCATCTCGAGGGCTTCGTAGGCTGTGAGCAGGGCCAGTCGCTGAGCTGGATCTGTCTGTATAGCTTCCTTGGGCGACATGTGAAAGAACTGGGTATCAAAGTGACCTGCAGACTTTAACCAGCAGCCGTACTGGACTTGGCTGGTGTTCTTGCGCTGGCCGGTTGGATCGTAGTGGTCGCGAGCGAAGCGCTCTTCGGGGACTGGTTTGTGGACGTCGAGGCCGCGGATGAGAAGATCCCAGAACTCATCGAGGTTGTCGGCTTCTGGGAATCGTCCGCTGAAGCCGATGATGGCGATCTTGTTGTCGTCGCCGGGAGCAACTTGGGGTTCTGCTCGGTCTTTTGCCATGCTCTCCAAGGTTGGTCCCATGAGAGTTGTAGCTCCTCGCTTGGCCAGCCAGTCAGAAAGGCTACAAACAGTCGTTTGAGCATTGACTGGTATCAAGGTAGCTTCAGTACCAGAAATTGTCTCGAGTAGAGCATCAGTGACGAGATCCATGCGGATTTGCTGAGAGAGAGCGCTGCTCAAAACGTCGTCGAGGAGGTCTCCGAAGGAAAGCTGGTGTAAACGAGATCCTGATGCGCAGGAGATGATGGGTATGAGCATCTTGTTCTCTAGGAACTCAATATCTTGGAGGATTGATGCTAGGGTATTGTCGAGGCTCGACTCGGAGTATGCTGAAGAGTTATGGTAGGGACCATAGATGGGAGCTGGATATAACCTCTTTCCAGAGAAAGCATCGGAGGCCTTCAGTGATTCGAGGATAGATGGGGGACCGCTGATCGTTGTGAAACCAGGACCGATGGCGCTGATGTAGGGACGCGTGCTGGGAGTAAGATTCTAGAAAGATAAATGAGCTTCACTCAAATTTGCAATGCTGGAACTCGTGATCTCACCTTCTCATTTGAGAATTGTTGTAAAGCTTCTGAGACAAGCTCTTCCTGATTCGAAGACAGAATCATAGACCAACTTGAGGGTGTCGAATACCCAAGGTTCTCAGCTCGTCTGCGAACATGCATTCCAAGTCGGAAAGCAACAGTAGCAGCCTCAACACCCAGTCTCGAGATCTCAAAAACATCCTTAGCGCAGCTCACAGCCGCTGCTGCAATGCTACCAGTGCAAATACCGAGTAGAAAAGATGGAGAGGCCGATGGATGTTGCTTATCCGAACGGGCAAGATAGCTTCGATTCAGTCAGCAAACCCCCACCTTCTGCCTGTTCATCTGACTTACTCGATATAGTATCCAATCTCATAAATGCAAACAAAAGCACTATCCAGCGCTGCATGAGGTTCACTCCTCCGAACGCCCTCCAAGAGCAAACTCAAGCTTTCAGCCTCGGGAATCGATTTCCTCTCCAAAGACGACAGCGAAACGATCTCACGCCGAACTGCCAAAAACGCCTCGCCAAGAAAGGAAGTCAAAAGCGCGTTGTCTTTCACGCGGACAAGGGCTTGTAGTTTATCAAGAACGGGAGTGCTTTGATCGCCAAAGACGTACACATCTGCTGAGGACGCCATCGTGAAGGATGAAGGATGGCAAGAAGAATCGCTGTTGAAAGCAGTAACAAAGGTGCAATATTCGTTTGTCTCGACGTTGTTTGTGCCAAGATGTATCTGGCTTATACTGTAGAGGTTTAAACATACATGGCCCTTTTTGGTAATTCGTAACTAACTCGTAAGGGTGCTGGTTGGCGAGCTAGTGTTGGGTCCGCGCTTTTGCGAAAATGTCCGTAGTGGCTTGCATGGTGGGCTAGGGTCAGTATAGCGGCTAAGTACGCCACGCAGGATCAGATCAGAGATGAAGCTCCGAAGAGGTCCGAAGTCTTATCTTGCAGGGGAAGCTGAAACTGTTAGAGTGGCGTAGTATGTGCCGTGAACCGAGGACGAATGGAGTCAAGAGGAGAGCCATGGAGGCGATGCGCTAATGTGTGAATGCCAACTAACGTTAGGCTCTGTACCTGGATGGTGACTCGAATCTCGGCACTTGCATAGACTTTCTTTGACAGTTGGCTTCAGTATTGTAGCAATCCAATATTCTGTAGTTACATGGCTAAGAATTGAACTTGATATCATGATACGGAGCAGAATCTTGTGGCTGCAATGGACCGTTAGGTCAAGCACATCAATGAAACAGGTAACATAATCAATCAGTTGTGCAAGCCATAACGAGTAAGCATCTTTCTCAATCAAGTATCACCGCTGAACTACGTGAAGTGGGTGGTGAATGGGATGAGTAACAGATAGCTTGGATTGGGATCGAATAAGTCTTTCGAGAGGCTATTCTAAGAACCAACTTCAACGACTCCAGTCGCCGCCTGCACTGGATTCCGAAGTCCCACAAACTCATTCCTCTGCTCATTCTCCTGCAAAATCGCCGCCTTCTGACTCTCCTTCTCCTCGGCCTCCTTAACCTCCTTCGCCACCTTCTGACGTCTCGCCATCTCAGCCCTTGCTTCATCAACAGCCTTGTTATAAAGATGTCCTCTAGCCGTAAGTTCAACATCCTCCAGATACGGCGCAGCAGAAAGTGCCATAAACGCACGCAAAAGCCAGTCTTCGTTGCTAAGTTTCAACATATCCTTGACAAGAGTAGTTGCAGGACCAGGCGTGCACAGAAGTGCCTTGCCAACCATTTGAGATCTTTCCAAGGCTGTAGTAGCTGGCTGTGCGCGCTCTTGAGCATAGCTTGTGAGGATAGACTTGACTGTCTCGCCAGACAGCTTCTCACCAGGCTGAAGTGTCTTTCGAGCAGCCATGAGCTTGTTGACGAACACGGTGCAGGACTCAATAGCCTGGTTGGCGCCCTGTCCACCAGCTGGTGTAGTCTTACAAGCTGCATCGCCGACAATCACAGCGCGATCAGTGTTCCATCCCTTCGCGACACCTTCCTCAACGCCAATCTTGACCGCTACTATACGGTTCTTGTAGATCTCGCCAAACTTGAGCTTGGGGGTGACTTGGGTGTGAGCAACGCTTAGGCAGAGGACCTCAGCTTCAGCTTCAGTGTATCGTGGGGCTTGAGACAGCGGGACGTTCTGGTTGAGATTCTCGAAGACGAACCAGAATACAATTCCGTCTTTGCCTGTGAAGCCGATGACTGTTTGGTTCTCGCGATAAACGGCGAAGCGTTCACCTGGGGCGATGCCTTGGGTGGGCGCTGACATGCCGTAGACTGTGGAGCAGGCAACGCTGATGTCTAGTCATTAGTTAGTATTATTTCATAGAGATGAAATAGATTGGGAACTTACAATCATCTGCAGTCAAAGGTTCAGGAAGCTTTGAGTCGATGTGCGTGCGGACAGCGCTTCGCACGCCATCGGCACCAACAACAATGTCTGCTGTAAGAGACAGGCCATCGGTTGTCGTCACAGTGACATGATCGCCGCTCTCCTCAATTGAAGCAACGCGTGCTGAAGTCCTTACACATTCTGTGCGCTGAATGTGACGAACCATGATGGGCAGCAGCTTGCGACGTTCAATAAAAGCAACAGGATATCCGATCCTACACGTACCATTAGTCAACAGCCAGAGAACAGATTAATTATACCAACTTTTCACGATATTGACCCATGGCGTCAGAGTCATTCATCAGATTCCCCTCGCTGTCATAAGAGAACCACTTCTCAAGCGGAATAGTAGCCTCCTCAATATCCTCCACGAGACCAAGCTGATCAAGGATACGCAGACCATTTGGCTGCAGACCAATACCAGCGCCTCGATCAGACTCAAGAGTATCGCGGCCCTCAAGGAGAAAATAGCTGATGCCGAGTTTCTCAAACATCAGCGCGAGAGTGACTCCAGCGATCCCTCCTCCGGCGATGATGACTTCATAATGCTGCTTTGGCTCAGCCATGACGATAGTGAGATGTAGTAGAATATTGTGGATTAAATTGTCCCGGTTTACGAGCTTTCACGAGATTTCGTTAAGCGGCTGTGCCTTTTGGGGTGTTGTTGTTTATTTGAGTAGACAGCGCCTCGCTAGTGTAGCTTATGCATAAGCACTGGCCGAAGATATCCGAATTTTGAAAGTCGCCTCATTCACGCATGGTGAAACACGCATAGATCGGAGGACTTCGGACTTCCTAAACAGGTAGGACGCTGAACCATCGCGGCTCTCTGCCATTACAGCTGGATTCAAATGGCACCACTTTATAGACCTGATAAGCCTCTGTTGATTTCCATTTCCTCAGCATCATCTCATCAACAGCAATTCAACATTATCTCCCTCGTCTTTGACATTTACCAATTACATCGCCCAATATGGTTTCAAACGGCATTTCCAACGGTACCAATGGTACTAACGGCACTACTATCAATGGCGCCAACGGTACTAATGGCGTGAATGGGCATGCTGCCCTGTCACCCCTGGAGGTCTTAGTCCAGGACCTCAACAAGAACACCACCACGTTGAACGGGTACCTCCGCGCCAACAAACTCCCCGAGCCTAGCTTCGAGCGGGATGCACCCATCATCAACTTGTCGCCTGATGCGCCTGAAGAAGCTCAGGTTGCGAAGGAGAAGATCCTTGACAGTGCGTTGCAAATCTTCCAGCTCGTCTCTGGCCCTGGCGAGTACTTGCAAAATGTCATCACAGGTGTAAGTAATTTACCATAATCATTTTCTATAGCTTTTAGTAACACTTGCAGTATCATTACATGGAGATCCTGCGATGGATGAGCCACTTCAAGATCTTCGAGCTCGTGCCCTTGGATGGCAAGATCTCATACACAGAGCTAGCCTCCAAGGCTGGTGTAGCTGAGTTGCGGCTCAAGACTCTCGCTCGCATGGGCATGACGAACCATCTCTTTGCCGAGCCTGAGCCCGGCTTCATCGCCCACTCAGCAACCTCAGCTGCTCTGGTGACCAACAACAGATTCTCCGATCAGAGAGTCTGGATGACAAGCATCATCGCCCCAGTCATCGCATCTATGGTCACTGCGCATGAGAGATGGCCTGACAGCACAGCTCCCAACAAGGCCGCTTTCAATGCTGCGTTCAACACTGACCTTCGCATGTATGAGTACATTGCTAAGCAACCTGATGTTTACAAGCTTTTCGGTCGTGTCATGGATGCCATTGCCACTAGTCCCAAGAGTGACTTGAAGCATCTTGTTAGTGGCTTTGACTGGGCCGGACTTGGCAAGGCCAATGTTGTTGATGTAAGTCTCCCCCACGCTTATTATATCGCTGCTACTAACATATCTCATAAAGATTGGAGGCAATATTGGCCACAGTTGCGTGAAGCTCGCCGAAGCCTTCCCCGATCTCACCTTCATCATCCAAGACATCCCCCACGTCGTCGAAGAAGGCGCCAAAGTCATCAAGGAGAACAATGAGCCCAGCATCGCCAACCGCATCCAATTCCAAGAATACGACTTCTTCCAGAAACAACCAGTCGTCGGCGCGGATATCTACCTCTTGCGCCAGATCTTTCATAACTGGGACTTTGAGAACTCTGTCAAGATCCTAAAGAACACTGTTGAGTCCATGGGTCAGAAGTCTCACGTGTTGATCATGGACTTTGTGGTTCCTGAGCCTGGCACTGTTTCATCTGTAAATGAGCGAGTTTTGCGATCTCGTGATGTGGGTATGATGCAGCTGTTTAATTCACTTGAGCGAGATCTCGAGGGTTGGAAAGCGATTTTGGAGGCGGTGGATTCGAGGCTTAAGATTAATGCTGTCAACACGCCTTATGGTAGCTTCATGTCTGTTATTGACGTTGTTCTAGGGTAAGGGTTTAATAGATTTAGTTATACGGCTTTAATTATTTGATCAAGGTTAGAAATACGATAAAATTGGTCTAACTCTCTTATCCCCATTTTTCCTCTCATTTCCTTCTTTATTCTGTAATGGCTTTTGCCTGCTTTGTAACATCGCGACCATCGATGCACAACGAGTGATTCCGCCCAATTGAGCTAATTAATCACTTTGAAGTTTTCAAGCAACGCGACAGAGCCAAAAAGGGCCGTGCTATCAATTTTAGTCAACATCATGTGCGTTAGTATCTGTGCACTAAAAAGTTTGAGTTTATTGCCATCTAGACTTAATTGACAGACAGCTTGTCGCACAGTAGCACGAACTGACGCTCCGTGACAACCAGGGATTTCCATGTTCAGATTGCTCAGATCGCCAAGACGAAGTGTTACCAAATCTGGACATGACACATTCCAGGGGTTAACAGAGCGAACCAATCGCGGGCCGTAGTTATGCGATTATGCGAGATGGCGAGTCTCCACACACGCGTCTTCGGGCGTGTTATCCGAGACTTGAGCGACGCAACGATCGCGAAGGAAGACGCTGAAGTTCGGAAATCTCAGTAATTGCAGGCGGATATCTTCGGAGCTCGAATGTGAGTACATAAACGCTGATACGTCAACACACTCTGCTTCACCGAAACAAGCCTCAGCTGCCCTACCATTTCATCTCACTGCCCTGTACTGTACTACCTTGACTGACACCCTCCATCCCTGCTTATCTCACTCACTCACTCACTCACAACCATGTCATCTCCACATTTCTCCAAAGTCCTCGTCTTTGGTGCCACCGGCGAAGTTGGCTCCGCCGTAGCACTCGAGGCCCATGCTCTCGGCGCCCACGTCTCCATCGCCCTACGCGACACAACCAAGCACAACGAGTGGATATCCCCTTCCCAGGAACACGCCGCAGACCTGCAGCGCATCAGTGCCGACCTAACCGACCCCGACTCCCTCAAGCGGGCCGTGCATGACACAGGCGCCCAGGCAGCCTTCATCTACGCCGTGCGCTCCAAGGACACGTTGCGTGGTGCCATCGCCGCCCTGCGCGACGCTGGCATCCAGTACGTCGTATTCCTGTCGACGAGTCAGGTCAGGACCGCGGGCACCACCAAGGGTGACATCCGATCCATCAAGCCTGACCACTTCATACCGTGGCAGCATGCGCAGGTCGAGATTGCGCTGGAGGAGCTCGAGGTGCCACATGCAGCGGTACGGGCCGGGTTCTTTGCGAGCAACCCGCTAAGAATCTACCTTGATCGATCTTCGGAGCCTAAACAAGTCAACCTGCTAGCTCCGGAGGTGCCGCATGATCCCATTGATCCCAAGGATATTGGGCGTGCGGCTGCTGCCGTGTTAGTCAACCCGCGGCTGTACGCGAGTGGCTATCAGGGAGAGCCCAAGAAGGATGTTGTGTATCTCAGCGGACCGGCTTTGCTGTCGCAGACGGAGCAGTGGGAGATTATCAACCGGGAGCTTGTGGCTGCTGGTAAACCAGAGGTCAAGGTCAATCACATCACGGTTGAGCAGTACCTTGAGAATCTGGCCAAGCTTCATGTCCCTGATGTTGTAGCCAAGTCTCTTGCCAAGTCTATGGTGGAGACGAGGGCACTGTATGCTCCTGAGGACTATGAGAAGTCGCGGGGTAATGTTGAGCTCTTGACGGGCCGTAAGGCTACATCTTTTGATCAGTTTGTCAAGAGAGAGGTACCTAGATACTTTGACTAAGTTCAGGCGGTATAAGCATTGTATGTATTTCAGGATAGAGATGTCATATTCATTCCATATAGAATAGCCTTGCATTCGACTAAATACACACTTCTGATTTAAATACTTCTATCTTGTAGTAGCCTTTCGATGAGGAATTGTTATTTTATTGTATTAAACCCGAGAATCAAAACAGGTCCCCAGCAGATGATCTGATCAATTGAATCTTGGTGGCCCAAGATCAAACCCCGCCAGAGATGAAGCCCCGTGTTCAGCATCTACCCACGGCCATTCGGGGATCATGTCCATAAAAGGGCCTAACGTTTCCGTCCCAAGCACTCTTTGTAAAGCATCCGACTGACTACTGCTATCAAGTGACACTGCTGCCATGCCAGGCAATGATCCCTCAGGTGCTGGTATAGAAGGCGGTGTTTGCTGCAACGGTCCATACCAATTGTTAGAGTATGCTGGCGTTGGATACTGCGAGAAAAGGCCCGGTGACGGAGAGTATATGACCGGGTCTCTTCTCTGAGCTTGACGGCCCGCGTTCGAAGACCGTCCAGGAGTAGTCTGCTGCATCTCTTTAACATAGCGAGCCTTAGCCATGAGCCTTTTTATAGGTCTCCATAAAGCAAGGCGAGTCTCATCCTGTCTACTCTCATCGACCTTCCATCCTTCGTAAACTGTCGTGACACAGTCCCATGCCTGATCACATTGCGGTGATTGAGGTCGGGCGCAAAGCTCGGAGAGGACAAATGCCATGGCGCCCCATTGGATATGAGTCTTTGAGTACCATGTGAACTGGATGATCTCTTTGCTTGTGAGAAGCATGCCAGAGACTTCCAAAATCTTGATTGAAGTCTGAAAGAGCTCATCTCTCACTTTGTTCTCCAACTGGCCTGCGGTATTGGGAGTGGGAGGGAATTGGTTGCTCGCGCTTTTGCCATCAACTTCCTTTTCTCGTGACACTACCGAGTACTGGGTAATAAGCCAGAATCGTCCGAGGATGATTTGTGCCACCGCTGAAGAGAGAAGTTGAAATGGTACGGAAGTATCGCAGATAGGTAGATATCTGTCCCGCAACCGACTATCCAATTCTTGAGCCAGAGTCTTAGGAGAATCGGAGGCGTCAGCTACTCCTGGGGTACCTCCATCATCTGATGTTTTGTTCTGCTTGTGCCTCATACGACCAAGCTTCAGACCTGTCTGTATAGCCTCACATCGAATCAACGTGAGCGTCATATCAGTCGCACGGTCCCATCTTTCAGCTGGAGGCTCCACCATCTCAGGTGACAAATCAACATCATTGATGTGCAGTGGAGGTTTGGTATCCGTGATAAAACCCTGCGCAATAGGCTCATTGCAGTGATATTCTGACGAGCGACTATCGATGATGCAGATCTGCCACCATAACCGGCGGCGCAGCTCAGTCTCGAAGGGCTTCAGTCCGAAAATGGTGCCGTCGCGATGGAGACCCATGGTCCTTGCGATGTGGAAGACCAGCGATGTGAGTGCCCATGCAGCACGCGAGTCATCTTCATTTGGTAGTGCAGACAAGAAAAGGACTGCGGCTTGCAGCATGGTCATGCTCTGAGTGCTGAGGAGATTGCCTTGGGCGAGAGCCTGTTCAACTGCAAATCGATATCTTTCCAATGCAGCCTCACGAGTCTCATCCAGAATACTGAGACATTGCTCTGGATTGAGACTGATGACAGCTGAATAATGGATAGTGAATAGCAGGGTCTCTGTATGCTTGTCTACTGTGCCAAGAGATGCAATGGCATCCCAGTAGATTCTTGTCAAGGTCGGCATGTGAAATATGCGGACGAGCGGCGCGACATTCTCACTGAATGCGGCAAAGAGCGTGACAGCTTGTTGCAGTGAGGGATGGTAGTGATAGAGAGGTGAAGCAATTGCGCGGTAGCCAAAAATGGCGGCATTGAGTCCTAAGTGGGGATCTGATGGTGAGGTAGCGGCTGTGGTGGCGGATGAAGCGATTGACGGCTCGTAGCCAGCGTCTTCACTGGCAGGCTCAAAAAGAAGATCACGTAGCTCCTCGACCTACAAATGACGTGAGTCATGAGAAGGTATATCAAGTCATAATGGAAGATATACCTCATTGGATAAAGTGACCCATAGTGCATTGTTCACGTAGTAACTCTTTGACTCATCGACTTTGAGACGGCTAAAGTCCTGCTCAAACGAATGACCTTCACTGTCTTGCGCAGTCTGCGGGGTATCCTGGTTCTCTCTGGCTATGGAACTGTTAGATACAACCTGCAGTGAGTGAATGTAAGGCTGCCATGACTTACCAGCAGCACCGAATTGTCCAATGATGCTCTCAAGGCGGGACAAACGCTCTGATAGTTGGGGCGCGAGGCTGCGCTTCGGCCTCTTTGGTGCTCTACCTCGACCGGGAGGGTAGACACAGTTGACTTCGGATCTGATGCAGTTAGAGCATTGGGGGAATTGACGGTCGCATTTGACTCTGCGATGGCGACAGTGGATGCAGGTCCGCACTTGGACGTGCGATTGAGCCAAGCCTGGCATGGAGAGATTGCCCAAAGTAGAGTCCATCTTGCTGTGACTGACAAGAGATGATTACCCTAGAGGACCTGGGGCAGTCGTCTTGGCAATCTGAATTACAGACTTCAGAGACGTTGAGCGATGCCGTTGGAACGTCGCAGAGACTCGAGATCGGGCGAACGAGTTAGCGGACAATTGTGCGAGACGATGCCCCGCAGTTGGTGTTTAGTGCTGCTATTGGCCCGGCAGTCGCATAAGTTATGCGAGGTGCGCGAGTCCGCGAGAGAGCGAAAACACTCGCGAAATTGGCCATTACGAGCATCAAGAGAAAACACATGATACTAGCGCTAAGAGAAAACATGATAAAGGCCTGTAAAGAAATCCTTTTGCGGATTCCCTCCTACAGAATCTCACTGAACAAGGAGTACTTTTGCGCCTTATCTTGCCGCCCTACAGTACAGTACATGCTCTGATCCAGACTTGCATACCCCGCCAAACCACGGAGAGACATACAGGGCTCCACTGAATGATCTGACTGACAGCTGCAATGAGCGAACAGTTCAACATGGGTAAGGAGGAGGAAGCGCAGTCGGGCGACGTGGTCGACTTTGAGGGAGACTCCGACACCCACAACCCGCAGAACTGGCCCATGGGGAAAAAGGTGTATACGACAGCCCTGTGGGCCCTGACTACATGCTGGATCACCTTTGCCTCCGCCATTTACTCGGCTGGCACAGCAGAGATTAGTGAGGAGTTCCATGTGTCGTACGAGGTGGCCAACGCGGGCACCAGTCTACTCATTTTCGGGTTTGCTCTGGGACCCATGCTCTGGGCGCCTCTGTGTGAAGTTTATGGCCGGAAATGGCCTGCTCTCGCTGTAAGTGCCCCATCACCACTGTTACAGTACCTCCAAATCTAAGCTACAGTCACTACCGTTATGGACCGACCTTGCTGACCCTCGCTAGCCCTATTTCATTAGCGCAGCCTTCGCCTTCGGCACTGCGACCGCCAAGGATATCCAGACAATCCTAATAACAAGGTTCTTCGCCGGCGTGTTCGGCAGCTCCCCCATCTCCATCACAGGCGGTTCCATCGTCGACATCTGGACCCCACGCCAGCGGGGTACCCCCATGGTCTGCTACGGCATCACCATCGCTGCGGCGCCGACCCTGGGGCCTATCATCGGCGGCGCCTTTATCGCGAGCGGCTGCGGCTGGCGCTGGACCGAGTATTTGACGGGCATCGTCATGATGGTCCAGTTCGTCCTAGACGCCTTGTGGCTAGACGAGAGCCACGCTGACGTGCTTCTCACTCGCAAGGCAGGCCGCCTCCGTCGGTCTACGGGGAATTTCAGTCTCCACGCTAAGGTACGTGAGATCTTCTTATCCCGGGTCCCGCACCGTAATCTTTCCTGCTTATGGTGCGCTGTGCGTGCGGCCCTTCCGTGGCTGATATCTTGGCTGAAACAAAACACAAAAAACTACAGTGGGAGGAGACTAGCCCAACGTTCAAGAGTCTACTGAGTACATACCTTGTCCGACCGTTTCAGATGCTTCTGGATCCAATCTGCCTCTTGCTTACGATCTATACCTCTTTCGTCTATGGTAAGCGCTACAAATATCCCTGGCCAAAAATGTCAACGTTACCTTGCTTGCTGTATTATGACCTTCCCAAACACTGCTGACTCATGGGGACTTTTTGTCTTTGTAGCAATCCTTTACGCGAGCTTGGAGAGTTTCGCCTTAGAATACGGCCGGTTCCGGGGATGGGGACCCGTAGTGAGCCAGCTTCCCTTCCTGTCGCTGTTGATTGGCTGTCTCTTTGCCGCGGCGGCCAACATCTTCAACAACATCTATTACGGAAAGAAGCTCGTCGCCAACAACTTCAAGCCTGTTCCTGAAGCGAGACTTCCACCAATGATGGTGGGCGGCTTCGCCTTTTCTGCAGGTCTTTTCCTTTTTGGCTGTAAGTGTCAATATCTAGCGGAACCGCCCCGAACCTACATGAGAAAAATTGTGGAGATGACTTGCATAGACGACTGACCCGTTATTCTCTTCTGTTTAGGGACCTCGGTCGAGCACGTCTCTAGCCCATGGCCGTCCATCATTGGCGTCTTCCTCACAGGGGTTGGCTTCACCACCATCTTCCAATCCTCCCTCCAGTATCTCGTCGACACTTTCACCCGCTACAGTGCTAGCGCTATTGCGGCTAATACTTTTGTCCGATCCATGGCTGCAGGTGCCTTTCCTCTCTTTGTCTGGCCCATGTATGAAAAGATCGGCATCGATTGGGGGAGCACTATCTTTGCCTGCATTAGCGTGCTTCTGCTGCCAGCTCCCTTCCTCTTTTTCAAATGGGGTTATCGGATCAGGGCCCGTGGCGAATTCAGCAAGCTCTCGACCTATTAAGGCTGCTCAGGTTAGACAAGATACCCTGTTCGTGGTTGCTTTGATCCGACATGCATATTCCAATCGCGGAACCGAGGACATGGTGAGCTGATCTTGGGCGTTGTCTATTTCGTCATTTATGAGACACCGACATGCATGAAATGGTCATGGATACGGGTTTAACAGGTGTCATCAGTATCCAACGCCACTCATTACCTGCAACATCCCTTCGTTCAGTACCCTTTTTAGAGATAAACAACATCACCAGATTGAGTTAGAATAGATCCCTAGTAAATCTACTTAACAGATACGCTACCCATCGGCAAACCTTCTCACAACGTGATGCTACCGTACCATGACGCTGACTCGCTGCTAAACACGTGCCCCCGGGACGATAACATACCGTATTACGTGTTCTGATCCTGAATACGATATACCCTGTTTATCGTACTCTCTCTTAACCGCACTGACCAACCTGCCATGTCAAGCCTAGCCGAAACCTTAAGCGTACAGATTGGTTGCATCCAGTATACGCAGAAAGCTGAGGCTGCATATACGCGGCGTATCAGAAATGCAATCCAACGGCAGGAAGAAATAAATAAAACCACTCAGCAAACTGCGGCATGGATGCTGACTAGTGGCGCAGTGGTAAGAGACGCAAGGCGACGGCAACTCGGCAGTGACCCCCCCAGCTCTGTCTGTTAACGCTGGCTGGCCTGGGCGGGAGGTAATCTTGATTATAAGACTCGCAAGCCTTAAGTTGGTTGGGGCCAATGTCCCGATTCATCTGATCTGCTGCCTCGGTACAGTATCGAGTCAGCCCAAACTGCACTGGCTCCCCAATCCCAAAGACTTGGCATTATCACTAAAGGACACACACACCCTCCTCTCTACTGCCCAGTCACTAGGTCAACCCTGTATCCTCATCCCAAAAACACCATGCCTCCGTATAACTTCCCCTCCGTGCGAGCTTCATGTGATCGCTGTCGATTCCACAAGCTCAAGTGCATCGTCAATGCAGAAGACAAATCCGTCCAGCAAAAGTGCGCCCGCTGTATCAGGGCAAAAGTTGAGTGCGTGTATAGCCAACGGGCCCGCCCAAAGCGCCAAAAGAACCTCGAGTCAGAGGGCAGTTCTGGCGAGGGAGAAATGGGGCCTCTGACTCCACCGACTGGCTCTGGCGAAGAAGTCAGCTTTGACAACTTTGACTCGTCTTATACAGGCTCACCAGATATCTGGGCCATGCTGAATACGCCGGATTTTGGAGTCCGACTGGATGAGTCGAGTTTGACGTTTGGCAGCTTCGCACAGACTCCGTCAGGCGTAGCATCTGCGAGCGCGGGTGGGCTGCATGTTGGTTCCATGCTCGACGTAGTACCGAACCAGATTCTTGGTTACGGACTTGTCACGGAGCCCACTACACCCAAATTTGAAAACACTGCGTTGGATTCATCGGCGAGGATATCACCCTTCATGCATGATTGCACGCAGTCCCAGACCAACGGGACCATTGACATTGATGGGGCTTCGCCAATCACTCGACTGTCAAATCTCATGGCTGATATTTACCGCACGTTGGCTATTCTCACAGGCAGTTCACCTGCCAACAAATACCCCAGCTTCAACTTTTGCGAATACCCTATTGGCACCGTCTTGCATCTTGCTCGGACTCTAGTAGAGATCATCCCGCAAGTCACAGGCTCATTTCACGCCGCCTCAGCATTTCCCCAAGACATGACTGGAGTATCAAGACGCGACTCGATATCCTCAGTCTCCCCATTCAACAGCTACAGCTACTACGCAGACCTCCAATCCATCACACCCCCATCATCCACAGCATCTCACAGTCTCAAAGACTCCATGGACGCACCCACCAAAATGCTCGCAATGAGCTGCTACTCATCCCTTCGCCGCCTATACTGTCTAGTCCTGACTCATTTCGAGACCTACCTGCGCATGACACTCCCCGCCTTCACCAACGAACTCCTGTCGCATAACGCAGCGGGGGTCAAGACGCTGCAGCTCGGTGAGCTGCCTCTTACGGACGAGGTGTGCAGCAGGATTGGCACGGCGGTCAAGTTGATGCTGGATGCTCTCCGATCCGCGGAGGACATGCTCGGCCTTTTTGATTATGCGAGCACTACGCGAAGATGCCGGAAAGCGGATCCATGCGGGTGTCCGTTCTCAGCAGGGTCGGCGGAGAGGGGTCAGGATGTAACGCCGTTGGCGTATGAGGAGCTCTCAGAAGTATTTAAGGACAGTGCTATGATGGGGTATGAGGGCGCACATATAGATAATTTGGCGAGTAAGGTTGAGTCTGTCAAGACAATGTTGAAGGATAGAATAGACCTCCGCATCTAAGTTCTTTAGACTTCACATAGAGATCATTTAATGTTATTTCACTTGATATTACTGAATTGACCTGGCTGTCTGTCACACTGGCTACTTGCCACCACCATTATAAGCAACATGTTGAGGACCATCAAAAGCTTCTCCAACAAAGGTGGTGTAAGCAGCGCCGATGATGCGTTTAGTAACGGCAACAGAGCCCCGAAGTCCCTCCTTTGCCATGAAATACGCCGCAAGGCCGGCAACATGCGGCGCAGCCATGTTTGTGCCTGACCTGTACACACTGCCAGAGTCGCTTAGATGCCCCGCGCTGAGGATGTCACTACCTGGCGCAAAGATATCAACCACCTTGCCGTAATTCGACCACAAAGTACGATAATTAGAAGAATCGATAGCGCCGACAGTAATAGCTGACGGGGCAGAAGCAGGCGAGTAGTTGGCAGCATCTTCCGCCTCGTTGCCGGCTGCCACCACGATAGTGATGCCGAGATCAGTGGCTGCCTTGACAGCATCGTTCCCAATCTTGGTATAGGGTCCGCCAAGGGATGCATTAATGATGCTCTTCTTGGTGATGCCCTTGGACTTGGCGTGATTGACAGCCCACTGCAGGCCTTGAAGGACATTGGACATGGTGTTCATACCGTTCTTGTCAATCACCTTGACAGCATACATGCTGCAGCCTTTAGCTACGCCGTAGGTCTTGCCGCCCACAATGCCAGCAACATGTGTCCCGTTGCCAAACTCGTCTCTATCGGGAGAGCCACTAACGAAGTTGGCTCCCCACACGGCTCGACCACCAAACTTCTTGTGCGTACTTCGGATGCCGGAGTCGAGGATATAAACAGTTGCACCAGTGCCGACTGTCATGTCATCTGTAGCGCTGTAAACTAAACCGGATTTCTGGTACTGTTGAGTGGCGGATAATCAAGGTTTGAATTCCAGCTTGGGTGCTGGCTTGACAAAGCCAAGACCATGGGCTATCAGACGTAGATCATTGCGTCTAGCTACTGACTCAGTAGTCTCAAGCTTGTTCTCAGCCTTGAATCCAGGCCAGGAGCCACCGACGACATTCCTACGTGAACCTTGATTGGAGATACAAGCCCGTTTCACTGTAGACCACTCATTACAGTATGCAGAGACAATGCGGGTAATGCAGCAGTAGAAGCTGTAACATTTATTATGTGCACGAGCAATCTCAGCTTCAAGTACTACAAAATGTCACGTTTGAAGCTATACATCCTTCGCAGTCAACCCTAAACGCCTTCGTCTAAATGAGCTTCTTTCCTTCGCAGCACCGCCTTTTCTCCGCCCACTCTCTATTGATCCCCTTATAGTCCTGGATCGTATATCCCGAGAATACTTCCTGTGTCGCACTCTGCTTCCTGCGACTGCAAACACCAAGATCTCGAAGCAACATGTCTGCATACGGGACAGTATCGTACACAAACTCAGGATACCACGCTGAGAATCCACAGGGGTAGCGCAATCTGCCGTAGCAACTGGAAAGTGCTGTCTCCTTATAGACTCTGTCCTTGTTGATTTGGATCTTGTTGTTGAGATAGGCGTATGCCCAGAGAGCTTGCGTCTCTGCTATGATGATGTTGGCGGTGCTATGGACCATCTTAATAAAGACAATGGAATTATCGGATCGTGATGTTAGACCTGGTGGTGCCATGCCACGGTACAGGCGGTACGGAGAGACCTTTTGTTTGTAGGGTATGACATTCTTGGGTGGACGAGTCAGGTATGGAAATTTCTGTAGGATTTCATGTTCGGCATCTTTGTCAAGATGGGTCCAGAAATCTTGCTCCTCACTGCTCATGTTCTCAGTTGGAATGCCGAGACTCGCTTCGATTCCATCAGGCTTGTACTGGATGTTCGGTGAGAGCTTCCATCCGGTGATGGCTATCAGAGCGTCCGTTTGGGAAGTCGTATCGTCGGCAAAATTGATCGTTCCGTTCTTGGAGAGATGCGAGATATCTTTCTTGATGATTTGGACCTGGCCCGAGGTCACGTAGTCGTGAATGTTGCCTGGATAGTTGAGGACGCCGACTCGAGCAGACCAAAACAAACTGTTCGTCGAGGTCAGCGTGTCAAAGACAAAACCGTAAGGAGAAGGGGCAGATGCTTACCTCTCGTAGGGTTCTAGTTGGGAAATTGACTCATTCTTCCTGTATCCGTTGAAGTTGACGGTGTCCATCCGAATCTTCTCCCAAAGACGATGCACCATTGTCCGACCAAGCCATGTCCCGTGCAAGAAGCGACGAACCCACGAGTATCCATCATATTCGCCCCAAACGCAGGGACTAAACCATGTGAAGAACCTCATAGTGGCAACATGCTCCAACTGTAGCGTGAAAGGACCCATCTTGACCCAGGGCGGTGACATCCAGACACCACCACCACCAGACTCGCGAATGACCCAGGTCACCTTCTTACCACGAGAAGCCATGAGTTGTACCGCATCATATCCCGTCTTTGAGGCCCCAACAATTGTGACGGACATGACGTTGGGATCTGATGCTACCTCGTGTGCCTCAACCTTGAGTTGGCCGTGGTTGAGGACTGGCTTGCCAAAAGCTTCACGACCTGGATATGACACAGGGTTTGGGGTGGATGCAAGACCAGTGCACATAATGAGTTTCTCGCAGCGATATGACACTGGGACGGGCTTTTCGGCAGCGGTATTGTCCTCGCCAACGAGCTCCCAGCCGCCTTTGTCTAGCTTTTCGATCATGTGGATGTTGACATTGAAGCGAATACGACGAAAGACGTCGAATTTAACTGCAAAATCGGTCATGTACCTGTAGAGAACAAGACCTGGGATATGCTCGCCGTCCTTGACGCCATAGCTATCATCGAGGGGGAAATCAGTGAACTCGTAGGTGCCTCGTAGGTTATTGGTCTTGAGGCCATCGTAGCAGTTTTCTTCAGCCCAGACTCCACCCAGACCTGATCGCTGCAGATGTACTTTTAGCCATCTTTCATCAATCATTTCATCACGCATGTGAGTAATCTTACCTTCTCAAGAAGCAAGATATCGGCTTCAGGGTCTAATTCCAAGTAGGTCTTTGCTGCAGCCAGTCCACCGACGCCTATTTACAGTTAGATGCACAACTCTGTATGCAATTGGACTCGTGTTCCGGGGCATACTCACCAGTGCCGACGATTATGATAGAAGCTCTGTGTGACTTCATTCTGATGTTGTTATCCCAAATGCCCTCGCTTTAAGCTTCTTGTCGGTTCTGCTCGATCATGTCGACATCAACTAAGGCACAAATGATTGTATTGATAGAAGGCGACTTAAATATTAAATTCTTGATCCTTGACTGAACCACTTTGTCCCTGGACAGCAGCAGCAAACTTACCCCGCGATGGACCCTTACCCCAGATAATGGAACGTGGGGATCGAGATAGGGTGGAGCTTTTTCGGTTATCGTGCCTGAGTATCGTGTACCCATTATTGTTGATTGTAACCTGCATTATCCATCTTCGTATCTATCACCGAATACGCTCTGATGTTTTAGGTTAGACGTGAAATGGTGGGAGAGCTCAAGTGGGGTAATTCCCACGCGAAACAGTTTGCAGTGGTACATGGTTCTAAAGTGGTACACGGTAAAGTGGTACATGATAAGTAGGTAGATATCGGTAGTGTGTAGATAAGCTCCGAGAGGCCAGACAGCGGTACACTCTGGTTGTGTGTTGCTCCTATCAAGATAGTGATGCGCCGAAGATCGATGTTCGTTATTAACTTCACATTCCATGTGTAAATTAGGCAATACCACTGCCGGGGTACCGCATCCACGTATAACTAGTAGAACCGAAAACTGAGAAGGGAAAGAAAACACATATGTTATTTAGTATTATTCCATCTCCACGATACCCTCAAGGACCTTCATTGCTTCAAAGGCAGCAGTCCATCGAACCGTCTTGAGGTACTTTGCCACTTCAATAGCTAAACCATGCGGGCAACATCTATGCAAGTCCCTGCCAATAGTTACCGGAGTACAAGATGCCATATTAGAAATGGTCTGGTGCATAAGAGCCTTTGACTGTGCCTGTAAAATATCCTCTCCGCCAGCGCTATGATGACAGCCTCGACGGCTATCATTCTGCCCTTGGGAGAAGTGCACAAAGGCCCAAGTCGTCAACACGCCGATGTAGAGACACCACGGGTAATGGAACATGCCGTTAGCCTTCCAATTCCGCAGGTTCAACAGACCCTCGCGAATCATCTGTGCAGCATGCCACGCAGCATGACCAGCCGATTCAGGAGATAGCCGCACCCACTCGATCACCGCCTTGGTACTTTCTTCACGCTCCGCGCTCGTTACAACATGTCCAAAGATCGCCTCCGCGCCTGCTGCAATCTGGAGGTGACGGATATCTGCATTGACGACAATATGTGCGGTGTGATAGAGCGCAAGAAAGGCAACGTTTTCCTGGCGGAACTCGTGTAGCGACAAGTCTTCATCGATAGTCTGTCTTGTGCCCATAGCGCAAGCATCATATTTCGTCTTCCACAGCTCCAGTGCAGTTGTCATCCGGCAGCGCCAATTGTTGTCGTCCCCTTGCGCGGCATTTCCAAGATAGATGGACTGGTTGTGAAAATGAACCATGTCGTTGCACATTGACATCAAGCCATGTAGGATAAAGCTCAGAGACAGGCTGTCTAACGTCTCGCACCAAATGTTGCCACCGTCCTCGATAAAGTTCTTTACCATGGTGTTGATCATCGGAGGATCAGTCTTGGAAATGATGGCGTTCCATGCCTCTTCATCCTTGGCCTCCCAAAGCTCCTTGGAGCAAGGGAGATTTACTTGAATAGACTGGGTAGACATGCTTGGCATGAACGAGTAGTAGCTGACATTTTGAGTATCCCACATAAAGATAAACAATATCAAGCTACAGTGACTGTTATTAGCAGCGCGTTGAAGAATTCCAAGTGATCGAGGAGTCTTACCGTTTGTACTGCTCGATGTACGCAAATGCTTTCCAGTCCTTCTCGCGATCTGTCCTCAAGTCAGGAACCATTATCCTGGCCCGCACATGATAACGGGAAAGTCGTCTGATGGCCTGTTCCCCATGTCAGTAACCAGGAAATAGGAGGTATCTCAGTATTGGGAGAGACTTACGTTGAACAGAAACGTATGCATTATTATGGACTTCTCGCGCTGATATGCTCCGGCTCGATACATTCCATAACATTCTAGAACCATGAAGGCCTGAAGGATGGAGAGGTCAGGAACCTTGATACCACTGAGCCCGCTCAAGATGTACGGCGTCATGGCGTCGTATAGGCACACTGAGAGTTGGTGGTCTTCTTTGTCTTTATACGTAGCCCCAAGGACAATCAGAGATAATAGGAACAATGGTTCCGCGTCGAGAACCTCCAGTGTCGGTGTATGGATCATTGGGTAACAAGAGTTGAAGTTGGCAAAGAACAAGTCCAGGTACTCATGCATTAGGGCGAGGGACAGGTCTGCTGTACTCTCATCGATCGACGTTCCATTCGGATATACTGGCCTGATATCGTTAATGAGCCCAAGAATCTCAGCTCTCTTTGTTTCCGTCAGATGGAGGTTATTAAGCCCCAAGCGGCCAAGAGAGCATAGACTGTCGACTTCTGCGGAATTACTACCTGTCTCAATCGCTTCCCCATTGTAAACTGCTGTTGATGGAAATCTAGGAAGTTCTTCATCGTCATCTGAAGACTGGCAATCTCTCGGCGTTCTCGTTGTTGACGGATTGAGTACTGGTTGGTGTTGGCTTGGGTGGGACGATTGGCCATCTGGGTCAAGGTCAAGAGATTCTGGGGGCAAGACAGGCAAGTTGTCTTGGTCTGGCACCAGACTTAGATACTGGAGGGTTTCTGGAGAGTGAGGATCGCCCGTGACATTGAAATGCATAAAGTCAAAGGTAGAGTCGTGATACATGTCTCCAAGCTCCAGAAAGTCGAAGCCGTCTGTACTCAAAGTTCCTTCATGAGGTTCAGTAGAGGTGCCTCCTCCGATCGAGGTAGATCGCTCTGTCGTTTGCTGGAAACTACCGATCGTGGATTGGTCGGTCCCTGGAATACCTACGTGTTCAGGAATAGCTGAAGAGATCATATCAGCACCCGACTGACCGGATGTCACTGTGCCCGGCTGGTCTTCTGATGACGCCAATGGTTGGGCTCTCAATGAGCTATGAGCCATGATAAGTCGACCGCGGCGATGTCGTTTAGTCCTGAGTATACCAAGCCCCAACCCGCCAGCTAGCCGATCCTTACTTGCATGGCGAGCCTTGTGTCGCTCTGAGAGATTGGTTAGCAGATGTTCATCCTTTGTGAAACAGAGCCATAGACACACCAAGGAGGTCGCGTCGTTTGAAGGATGCAGCACATCTGGGGCATTCAAACTCAACGGCGGAATGGTTCAGAGCGTGCCGCGCTAGATGGGATGGCCGGCTGAATGACTTTCCGCACCCTGGCTTGGGGCATTGATGTCGTTTTGCTACATGCCTCCGTGTCCGCACCTCTTCATTCCGGGGTTCCCTGGTTCTGAAGTGACCTTCTTCCATCTCTCCACTACGAACTTCTGTCTGCAGGGCAATTGACTCGCGATATGGGAAGGATGATGTGTCGGATCAACGTAGAAGCGGCGAAAGGTGCGTTACCCGCCTAGTCTAGCCACTAACCGGTTAGCCGATGTCGGGCACCTGGATGAGCCAACCAGGTCTATTACTACGCCCTGATTGTGTAATACGCTTTTACAAGAAGTCCTTGAATTTAAATTCTTATAAAGGCATCCTAGTAAAAGCCGATAGAGGCCAACTTTCGCTGGAGATCGGTCTTATTAAATAAGACTTATTAAACTGTTTCTACTAAGAAGGGAAAGTATTATGAATCGGTATAGGCCCTATTCCTCTATTACCTAATAACAGAAGGCTTCTGTTTTTAGGCCATTAGTCTAGCGGTCTGACCTTCACAGAAAGTTTATCTTCTTCTATGCCCCATGCTTCCCGACCGCTTCAAGGTCACTAAGCGCAAAAGGTACAACGAAACCTCAACAGACTAGTTTGCAACGGTCATAGTTGACCTTTGGTGTACTTATTATGGAAGAGTGCCGATTATCCGTGCTGTGAGGGTGTTATAGCTATCAGAACCTTTTAAATGTGCATGATGAGATGCACAATCGTACCTTTCTCATTGACAGCAAGGCCGCCATGTGTAGACTGTGCTGCAGTCGGTTCCTCGGCATACACAGAACCGCATGCCATTATCTCGATCAAAAGAGGCGCTTCAAGAAGCCATTAGCCGATGGGTACGAAGTCAACGTACAGTATCATGTCGGTGATTTACCTGGGGTGGAAATGATATCAAAAGTCGGAAGATGCACGATGGGCATGTGCGGTGCCATATACTCGAAGAAGCCTCGAACAAATCGACTGACGGCGAATTTGGATGGAAATCGGCAACTTGAAAACCGGTCCGAGCATCGAGCCCCAAAAGCCTGTTCTCTCAAGAAATCGAGTCCCTGAAACTCTCGTATACCGCGCTGGTGATGTCGGAGTCCTGCGACAGGCTTGTTCCCAGGGTACTCATCTGTCTTGGCTCCTGATCGCTAGCAGTGGCTTCCAAATCGCTCGGTTCTTGTATCGAGGCGGCACAGCGCGGTAACAAGATAATGCCACTTCGGCTATCGTCGTTACTCCGCGCCCGCATCTTATCAGGATGAAAGTTCCTCGTATGGCGAGTGATGACATCTTTGCAGGACGAAGATAACTTGCAGTACAAGCAGGAGAATGGCTTGTCTGCCCGATCTGCAGGGCATTGTTTAATAATTCAGGTCACTCTGCTGCGAAAAGGTGAGACTCACGGCTTTTCTGGTGGCGTTTTAGATGCGCCTGGCGATTGAACTTTGATTTGCATTGCGTACAGTTGAAGACCCGCGAAGCAGCAACGGGGCTGGCATCACCTCGAGGCTCCGCATCTGGCGATTCTGCCAACACCATGTTGGGTCATGTAGTATTCATCAAGCGTTGACGGTACGCTGAAGTCATCACAAGATGCAGCACAGAAGTAGGGCGTTCCGTGATGAATCGACCATATAATAACAAGCCGCAATTATAAATATTACAATAGCAAGATAATGTGACTGGCGATGCGAGATTGCCATAAGAATGCGCGTTAGCTGGTGTCGAGGTCGAGTTACTGTCCAGCAGTAGAGAGAGTGCTAAGGTTAGGGGAAAGCAATGACCCAGTGGATTGGCCTGGTGGGCTGTCTTTTGTATATTACTCCTCTGGAATCCCCCGCATCGGGGGCAATCGAGGCTAAGGAACCCTGCATTAGGATGGCTGGTCAGCGAGATGCGGGAAGGGCATTTTCGGGACCTGTATCTGTATCTACTACGTAGGTAATCATGCCAGTAAGGCCCCTATTAGTTTTGGGGCGAATCCCATTTGCTCTTTGTGATTAGCAAGGCTTGATGGGTTCCGGAAGGTGTGCAGTGAGGGGGGCATCCACTCTGTGACGAGGGGGCAGATTAAAGTTTCTAAGTTTAGGCAGTAAGTTCCGCTGACTAATCTCACTTTCGGATATGGCATACCTTGGCCTTGATATCTGTAGCATGACGACATATATAGAATTAGATGAAATCTATAGTTAGGCACTATTTCAGTATTTCACTAAGTTTTATATATAATTGCAACAGACCTGAGACCTGTTACAGTGTTATTTACACCACGCTCTTTCCTTTGCCATATTAGCATAGGGCCTCGGGTCTGCCGAGGAGATAAAAGTAGTGAGTATTAGTATATAATTAGTATCGTATCTTCAGTAACTAGCAGCCGAGGTCTCTCGGTAAATGACAGAGGTGGATATATTTTACAGCTATTTATACTTACATAGAACTATAATATTAGGCCAATGGTCTCGGAAAATACTATATAAGGTCAACACGCTACGGAGTCCTATGGCAGTCATCACCCAACAATCTTCAACATTCATAAACCGAATCTACATCCGATAAACCTGCCAAACTAACCTCATTAACCTCCAAGATGGCCGCTATTCGAGACGTTGATATCACCACCTATGATGGCTTGAACTTGAAAGGAACCTTGTACAGCGTTGGCCCCAAGAAGCCTTGCATTATCATGACCCATGGGGTGAGTTGGCCAATGATGGTTCGATATAAATGCTAACTCCGACTTACAGTTCTCTGGTCACCGTGATCATTTCCTACCCGAAATCGCTGCTAAATTCAACGACGCTGGCTATGGAGCACTGGTTTACGACAACCGATGCTGGGGCGATAGTGAGGGTCTTCCTCGCTGTGAAGCCGATCCCGTGAAGCAGACACGAGACTATCTCGACGCTTTCAATTTCGCGGCAGCACTTCCAGAGGTCGACCCCACCAAGATCGTCTACTGGGGATCTAGCTTGTCCGGAGGCAACGCCCTTTGCGCCGCTGCGATGAACAAGAGCTTGGCAGGCATTATTTCACAAGTCCCCTTTGTATCCGGCGGTTCCATGGCTCGCATCACCGGAGCACCAAAGTCTCTTCTGGTCTCTGCTCGCACTCCCAACTCAGAGATCAAGATCCCGATCTATCCCAGCTCTATCGAGGAGGTCCAAGACAATACCACCAAGGCTATTCTCAAAGATGCTGGAGCCGTCGGATTTGCAGAGGAGATGGCCCGACGAGGATTCAACTTCGACAGGACGGCGACTCTTCAGAGTTTGACCAACACGATCATGCACGAGCCTACAGGCGTTATTCATCACATCTCGCCAACACCGCTTCTGATGGTTGTGGCTGATGATGATGTGTGCACTTATACGCATTTGCAGCTGGAGGCTTTTGAGAAGGCACTGCAGCCCAAGACTCTCAAGATTATCAAGGGAACTGGTCATTTTGATCTGTACTATGGCAAGAGGTTTCAGGAAGTCGTTGACGCGCAGCTCGAGTTTTTGAAGAGCATCTTTTAGTAGTAGAAAGACTAGCGTAGGCGATATGTAGTGTGCGAGACCGGGTAGATATATAAATAGAATAGAGTACTTTTGTTTTGTTTTGTTTTACTATATTGCGCTCAAGAGACCACCACATGCATGGATGCCTTAGTGGGCCGGATGAGCTTAAAAATCACTATAGAGGACCCGGCAGAGAAAATCGGTATCTGAGCAGAAAAGGACGTGGTTTATTGGTCAGTTATAGAGTTCCGGATCGTGGGGACCCCGTATTTCCCGGAGATTGCGGAACATCTCTTCCATCCGAGTGCGAGCGTAGTCACACTAACCTGATTTCGAGTGGCCTTCCCCGCAATCATACCGTAGCTTCATCAGTCCCTTTCAGCATCCTTCTCAAATTCTCAGCTCAGCTCAACACTCCCCAGATTCATTATCTCTACGAACTGGTCCTCAGTCTTTGGTTCGAGCCTCATCGCCAACAATGTCTCCAGCCTCAAAACCAGTGACACGGTCCAAAGCGAATCACAAGCGTTCGTTGCAGGCGTGTCTGATCTGTCGGTCAAGAAAAGTGCGGTGCGACGTGTCAGTACACGGCCAACCGTGTACGAATTGCTCTTTGGACGACAAGGAGTGTCAATTAGCGCGAGCGCCAGTTACTTGGTAAGTCCTAAAATTCTTCACCCTTCTGTTCATATCGGTTGACGCGTCTTTTGTAGGACCCAGAAGCCTTCCGAAAGGCGTGCATTGCGAAATGCAATCAAGACATCCGACACCCGAAGCAGTGACCTTGCCTCAGATCTGACTGAACAAATCAGTCTGGATAGCCGGTTACCGATACCGCAGCTCGGCAGCTCAGGTTTCTCGTTACAGGCAGCGGGCGCTGGTGAACCATGGCAGAATTGGGCCATGGACTCTCTGGACTTTGGCACCATGCCCGAGTCTGCCGCTTACGATGGCTGGAGTTCCTCTGTGCCCGCTGAGAAGCAGCCTCGTTTGGATCCCATGGGTGAGTAGTTCCATGGCTTGGCACGTCTTACCTAATCGCTAATAGCCATAAAGGGAACATTTTTCAGCAGAGCACAGGGTCACCGAGTGACGCAGGTAGCACAAAAGATGGTGTCGTTCTTTACTCCTACTTCCAGTTTCTGACGGTCGGGAATCTTCATGCCATTCCCTATCAGGATGTCACTTATCTCGAAGCTCAAGGGTGCCTCCATGTCCCTAACCCTCTGATTATGGATGTCTTTATGAAGGCGTACTTTACATACGCCCATGTCTTTATCCCTCTCATCGACGAGGGAGAGTTTTGGGAAATGTTCTCTCCAGCCGCAAGCAGCTTGCCAACGCCCACGATCTCTCTTCTCGTCCTTCGGGCTATGCTATTCGCTACCAGTGCTGTATGTTGCTTCCAGGCTTCCTCAACATCTCCGGTGGAATTACCTGCTAATGATCACGTATAGTATGTTCCTCTTCCTGTCCTGCGGCAACTTGGATATCATGACATATGCTCCGCAAGGGCTGATTTATATCGAAAAGCCAAGGTGAGTCCAGTCTCCGTATGATGGCCGAAGAAAAGGCTAATAGTGTAAAGCTTCTGTTTGATATGGAGGCCGAGACCGCCCATATGCCACTTGCCCAAGCCGCATTAATGCTCATGAACTGGGTTCCTGAATCGCCCACCACAACTTCGCCTGTACCTTACAGAACATGGCTAAGCCTAGCGATCCATCATGCCAAGCTCATCAACGCCCACCGCCATGCAGGAATATGTGACGTTGGAACAACGGCAAACGAACCACGGTCAAAAACACTTCGAAGGCTTTGGTGGTGCTGCATTATCTGCGACAGATTATCATCTCTGGCTTGCCGCTTCCGTCTTCAGATCACACCCGATATGCTTGACATGGAGAACTGCGTACCCTTAGGCTTCGCCGATTTACAGAGCGAGATCCATCGGTCAAGCGTTTTCTCGCCCGCGACCAAGCGCCAACTTATAGCTCTGTTCTCCAAGAACCTAAGCCTGTTAATGTTGCTGACAGAAATTGTCCCTGTTGCTTACCCTTTCGAGACACGACTCGAGTCAAGTCCAGACTTCTCGGCACAGGAAGAGGAGAATATCGGAAAGTCTTGTGATCTTCTCGAGAAGTGGTATGATACAGCCAAGGCTGAATTTCCTCCCTTCCATAAACCAATCGCAGCCGAGGAAAGTGATGCAGCCAATTCCATCGCTGTACATACAAATCTTATGTATATCTATTACCAGTACGTTCTGAAACCATGTTCCCTATGAAATAGACTCTGACACCATCCAGCACGTCTTGCATTGCTCTTTGTAACCGGAGAGTCTTTACGCAGATTTCTGGAACAGGGAGCCCCGACTTTCATCTTGAGGAGTTTCAAGACGGCAACAGGGGCAATGACATTCGTGGAGATATTGAAGATTCTGTTCTCGGTCTGTCAAAATGCATAGGCTCATTATCAGGGTCCCATTTGACGAAGTATCTTCCTATCACAGTGTAAGTAAACCCAAATTTCTCTTCCCATTGCCTATAAGTGTGTATGCTAATCGGATTGCTACAAAGTTCGGGATGTCTTGCGATCCCTCTTGCACTGTACCATATGAACACAAGTTTATCCTCTGAAAATGACGTAGTGCCGAGTCATCTCGAAGGGTGGCCCCTTTTGAGCCTTGATCCGATGCAGAAACACCTTCAAGTCATGACAGACGCATCGGACATTTTCTCAGCTCAATACTATGGTTCCCAGTGGGTCAAGCAAGCAGCAGAGCATGTCGCAAAGCTGGCCCTGTCATTCAATAAGCTCTCATTGCAATCGGGTCAGGAAGCCATGAAAGACTGGGTCGATATTCTTGTCAGGCACCCAGAGGTATATCTGGGACTCGCTTGGACAGTGGATATGTGCATTAATCGGAGGAAGCTACCTGAGAGTCAAGACTTCCCTTTGTGTCTCCGCAACGACGTAGAGAAGCTGAATGCAGCTCCTCAGAAAACAGAGCATGAGATGCTAGACTCTGACTCTTCAGATGGACAGAAGGACCTCCAGCTGACGCAATCACTAGATTATCTCTTAGGTATGCAGGAACCCATGATTGGCGTCTTGTAGGACATCACGATGCAATCTTTAAAAAAGAATAGATCATCAGTTATTAAACCTTGTGTATTTCTCAGCAAGAGGAATTTATTCGCCTGTCCATTCCTCCTTCGACTATTCAGCTTTCATAGCAAAAGGGCACCCAGGACCACTCCACTCAGACCTGATATACTGGCAATACGCCTGATCACTCCCCCTGATATCCTCTTTCCTCGCCCTCGCCTTCTCCACATCCAACGTCTCAATCTTCTTCCAAAACGACTCCCGCGGGTCCGGTAAAAGCGTCTCTGCAAGGCTCATCGCTGTTCCAACGAAAAGCACAATCAACCACTGGAAGATGGGGTTCACGGGTTCGACCCGCATTGCCCTAAGAGTTGTAGGCAGTGAGAGAGCTTTCACTATCGACACACCGAGCCATCGGAAGCCGTAGGGGAAGTATCGGAAAGCGAACTGATTGAAGATCGCCAAGCCGATGTATTGCATCTTTGCATCGAACTCGCGCTTCTCATTCTCGTAGTCTTCGCAGAACTGGATACAGCCTTCAAAGTCTTTAGGATATCCGTAGACAGAGTTTCCGTCCTCTCTGATGAATAGCGGCGTCATATCCCTCCAAAAGTGGTGAGCAGCGATTTTCTCCTTCTCAGTGAAACCCGATAGTCCGAGCCGAAGACGCAAGCGGTGCATAAGTACAGCACTAAAAGTCGTGACGTACAGAAAATCTTCGTTGAACGAGAAGTTGCCGGGGTAACGACGCGCCAGAGACATATGAAGGTTGTTGATATGCTCCACTGCATCTCTGCATCGCTGATCACTTGGTCCATAGTGCCACCACGTCATATTGTAGTTTTCGGTGTCTTCGACGCGTTGAGCTCCTCGCTTGACAACCTTGCCACCGTCTGAGCGCCAGACAGTTTCGCAGCCATGAGTGGTGATGATGAAGTTGGGAAATGTAAGGGCGTAGATCATGTTATTCATGAAATCATTTGATCGGTAGCAGGACATGAGCCTCCACATGAGCTCATAGTCGGTCTCTGGATCGAGGCTGTTGATGGTGTCATTGAGCCAGTGATAGCCCCCAGGGGTTATTTCTTTAGACATGATTGATGAGAGGAATGAAGAAAGGCAGGTTTGGTAGGTAATTTTGTGAATGTAGTATTCTTTCTGAAGTTTTGGTCTATAATCGTTGTCTATATCAATGTTTTCCATTAACTGCACCAACGCTCTCCGCAAACTGATACGATATCGTACCGACAGTTCCCCGTGGGGAAACACGCGGCAGGGTGGACTCAAAACGCGAACGCCGCTGACTAAGCGGTCCTCGTACCTCTCTCCAACCGCCGAGATCTGTCAAGTACCGAATCTCAGATCCGATGCTGCTGCTAATACTCATGCGCGCGATTTTCATGATGCCTTCTAATTACTGAGGCGCAACAACGGAGTTGCTGGCAATCACTCAGTCACTGTTGTCACGGCATCAAAAGGGCTCATCTGATGACGCGCGACGCGTTTTATCACTTTACGTCATAGGCTTTTGTGACACCAACATATTGAGATTACCATTGTGTCTGCTCAAACCACCGCTGGGAATCACTGGCAAAGAAATGACCCAGCTCAAGCTCATCACCAAAACCAAGCGTCGACGTCTCCCACGTCGGCATCGTTGAGAGCAAATCTGACTCAATGTCAAAATTAATAGGGCCCCCTTCCGCGGTCAAGTATGAGCCCAAAGATTCATTATTAAGATCGGCTTGGGTCGTGGTGCTCGCATCTAGAAAAGTGTCAATGATGCGCAAATAATGGGATGTCGATGAGAAGTACTAACCCCAGGCGCTCACAATCCGGAGAAGTTGCTGTACGAATCTGACGCAGCGGAGGACAAGAGTGTTGTTATCGCTGAGCTTCAACAGAGCCTCGCAAGTCTTGCCGAGATACCGTTTCGCACTTTCGGCGTTCCCAACTTCTGCACCAAGAGATATCAACAAGCTACCAAAGATTGCCAACGCTGCACTGAAGGCTGTTTCATGAGTCAGATCGCCATAAAAAGTCGGCAAGGTTAGTGACTTACCATAGTAGAGAGTGAACCACCAAGCCCCGATCAAATGGCGCCCGTGGTCAGGCCTTGTCAAAATGGTGTAAATAATATCTATGATGTTTTCCGCAACTTGCACAAAGACTCTGTCAAAGTTGGCATGCATGGTGTTGATGGAACCCGCGTGGCGATATGGCGTTTTGGCCTCTCTGAGCAGAGTACCTAAAGACCGAATGAAGATCGGGCGATGGAGGAGGAGTTGAACGTTGAGGTATCTCAATGTCAAGATGATCCTGAACTTTTCGCGTAATGGATCCTGGATATTCTCATCCGTGTTGTCTGGCATGTTGTCGACAGACCGCAAACCCAGATTCTGCGGCAAGCTGTTTTGCCAGTCTGATAGCTCCTGGCCGAACTGGATCATGGATGTCATTGTGGCTGTATCTGATGATTGGTCTTCACATCCAAGGTTACTACCATAGAGTGAGCCAATGATTCGCCCCATGATCCTGTAGAGAGTTCTAGACAAGGTAAGTCAAGTGGACCGTCTTTAAGCTAGAGGTTTCTTACATCGAGGCGTTGTAAAACGCAGTGCTCATTTTATGCACTTCATTAGTAGGTGACACCGGTACTGGTAATGTCTTTGGAAGATCCAAGCGGATGTACTCTTCTGGTATAGCACATGGGCGGCCAAACGTGAGGCTAAGACTTCTACACAGTTGTGTCAGCTTGAACAGACTCCAGAATTAGTAACAATGTGAAAGGGCCTACCTATCAAGCAAAATGCATCCAAACCAAGTACGTTTCCGGATTTCTTGTTGTAGAGGAGTGAACTTGGATGCAATGTCTCTTGAGTGGAGTCCAATAGACATGGCAGCTTTGACAGCGAGTCCATGAATGGTCCACGTATGGACCGACTTATGCGTCCCCTGGAGATATTGGCTCGTGAGTAAGAGGTATTGGACTAAACAATGTCAGTTCCAGAAAGCGAAGTGTAGTTAGAGGAGGTCATGCACCTGTTTCAAGAGTTGTTCCCCTAAACATCTGTGTATGGCAAAGCTCCTGCGCCCTACGATAGTAAACATCCGACTCTTCAAAAGTAGTCTCACTTCCCGAGTCCTCCCAGCAAGAAGTACAAGTTGCCATTGCAAGGATCATGTTCAGCAGGCCGAGCCAGGTCCGACGAACGTTTCCTCGAAAGCCACTCGCTCGGAATCGCTCATAGGTATCGAGAAACTCTTGTTCGTGTATGTATGGAAATAAGAGCCCCGTGTTATCAAAGTACGCACGGATGAGACGCTGCATGACCTCGTCCGGTGGTAGGAGATTGGCGCCAACCTTTTGAGGCTCACTTGAGACAGCTGGAAACGCGTTTAGATTGCTCACTAGCCCACCTTCGTATGCACTGTACTCTGATGCTGGTGTTAATGAAGTCTGATTGACATGCTGTGTTCTTTTTGTGTCGACAGCTCGTAATATGTGCCGCATGAGCGCGATGTTTGATGAAGGGCCTAGAAAGTATAATCGTGAGAGGAGCTCAATGAAAGGGGTAAATCGCTTGGACATACCAAAGAAACCGCAGTCTTGTTCATCTACGAACGAGACGGCCATGCCATCAGTCATACTCTGGCCCGCACCATTCTCTGGTATCTCATCAATGTTGACCACGACATTTCCTGGCTGGTGATGTAGTGGAAGTGTGACATCTTGCCTTGAACTCCCTGAAGTTTTTAGTGTACCCTCAACCAAGTTCAATCTAATATTGTGCTGTTCGATGTTTGTTTCCAACAGCTTCACTTTAGCCTCCAGGGCAGCAAACATACTAGAGACATCTTCATGTCAGATACCAGTCCAGGGTAGTGGAGCAGGGACACCTTACTCTTTTGGGACTAGAAGATTAGCTGAGGTCTCTTGTTGTTCATAAGAACAATCGAAGCCGAGCTTATCGCACGTGTCACATCTCGGTCGCACTCCATTACACTAATCTCATCAGTCAACCGTCTAGTAACGCGTGACAAGCAAACTCTACCCGAGATTTGCGGATCCTGCACGCCGAACAAGCCAACGCGACGCGACGTCTCTTTGGCGCTGGTTCCGACGCGTTTGCTTTTGGCGGCTGAGACGTTCCGCTTTTGGCGGAAGCTGGTGGAGAGTCATCTCGGGGGGTCATGATGGATGGTACGATTGGGAGATGCAACGAGCGAGTTAGCACTTGATCGGGGCAACATTGGGATGGGCCGATTTTTGTATTCAGGTTGACAAATCTTGTCTCCGCATTTCCCCAGAATTATCGAGACAAGAAACCGGGGGTCACGGCACTTGTAAACTCTGTTCCCTCTTTGGTTTGGGCTGTGGTCATGAAACCAATTGGAAGGGCGTGTTCTCTTCCGTCTCCATCTCGCTTCTGACGCTTCTGGGGTTCGAGGTTACGCCTCTGTTACACTGGCGCAAATACAAGTCCCTCAATTGGCTCAGTGACTGTCGTAGTGTCCACTTGACCTTGTCAGCTCCACCTTCGGGGCACCATCGGGAAAGACGGCACAGGATGCTTATGTATCAAAACAGGCACAAGACATATACTTGTACTTCATGCAGTGAGCTTTTGGTTGTTGAGGAATTATAGTGACAAGTAATTAAGCACAGAACACCAAAAATCACAATGAAGGTAGCTTGGCAACGATTGATCCGATTCGTCTCAACTGACGGGCGTGTTTTGCGCGGAGAGCCCATCCTCCCAACCCCCGACTTTGATCTTGGAGATACCACTGAAGAGACGAAACTTCAGGCGCGTGTCATTGAGGGAGATGACCTTTACGATACAACTGGTGCCACTCGTGTTACAGATGAATTGGTCACAGTTAAGACTTTGTTAGGACCTCTTGTTGCTAGCGACGTATCAATTCTCAGATGCGTGGGACTCAATTATGCTACACACAGTGAGTAATTATTTTCAGCACCGGTGAGAGGAACTACCCTGAAGACTCGAGTTAACACCGGACAGTTCGTGAGGCTGGACGCAAGCAACCGCCTTTTCCGTCCATTTTCTTCAAGCCTTCAACAACAATACATGATCATGGAGTCAACGTGGTGATCCCCAAAGTCGCCCAGGATGACCAAGCAGACTACGAAGGAGAACTGGTACGTGCCAATAACTACTACTAGAGTTGCTTGCTAATAGATCTAGGTCGTGGTTATTGGGAAGGATGCCAAGAACGTCAAGGAGAGTGAGGCCCTTGACTACGTCGCCGCTTACACAGCAGGCAATGACATCTCCTCTCGAAAATGGCAGAGAGATCCAAATCTCGCAGGCGGAGTCCCGCAATGGGGATTCTCCAAGGGTTTCGACACCTTTGCGCCTCTAGGTCCCGCCCTGGTTTCAAGCTCTGTGATAACAGCGCCCGAGAAACTCCATCTACAGACTATTGTGGACAAGGAAACCCGACAAGATGCAGGACTGGATGACCTCGTCTTTTCCATTCCACGACTAATTGCGCATCTATCCTCTGGAACTACACTGCAGAAAGGAAGTGTTATCATGACGGGCACTCCAGGAGGTGAGTAACTCTAATGCGTGGTTTTATATGAGCATGAGCTGACGTGTGAATGTGAATGTGTAGGTGTTGGTGCTGGATTGAAGCCGCCGAAGTACCTTGTACCTGGAACTCGGATGGAGGTCAAGATTACTCAGATTGGTACTCTCAAGAACGGCGTTGATTTTGAGTAGTCAAGTATCACTGGGCATAAGGACAAATAGACATATAGAGCTATACAATGCAATAGATATAAGTGCATGCAAGCTGCTGTCTCACTTATAGTGTATGAAGTCTAATGTTACTCATGTCACCTGGCGAAGGGGGCTAGCGTATGTATAGTAGAAGACAAAGTGTTATTCAGCCTCCAGGGTCGATATAAACTAACTGTCAAGGGAGTGACAATGAAGAGAAAGAAAAGAACAGCAACAACAATAACAAAGCAAACCAATCGTAATAAAGAGCGAAAAGTCCTGCCACTTCCCAGGGCCCCGGGTACCCTGTGACAAGCACACCGTTTTCACTACTATGCCAATAGCCAAACTAGATAGAGGTGGCAGCAACGCGCTGGATGAGGAATTGGGGTGCAGGTCCAGAAGCGTCAGACTGATAAGCCAGATGGGGAGCAGCAACAATCAAGGAGCCAGTGCAAACCAAGTCTCCAAAGTTGCAGAAAACCAGGGTTCGCTCTCTTGGGTAGTTGGGAATGCGGCCGAGATTCTGCAGGTTCTTGGTGTATCCGAACAAGACAGTGCCGACGACCTTGTTGCGGACAGAAGTGCTGAGATCCTCAATACTGGCTGCAGCAAGGGCAGCACCTTGACTGTAGCCTCCGGCAACGATCTTGGCTGAAGGGCACTTTGAGTTTGCAAGGTTGAACAGTCCGATCATTTCTCTGATGGCTGCTGAAGAGGTTCCTCGAGGAAGGGCATTGTCTCCGAGGGTAGCACGGTATGCGCCACCAACCTATGGTTCAAACAGTCAGGAAGTTGAAACGGGATATTATGTAGAGAAGGCACTTACTCCTTGGATCCAGACTCCGTTGCTACCGTAGTTGCTCTCAAGCGCAGAGGCAACACGAGGACCAAGGGTTCCCTACCAAGTCAGCCAACTCAATCTAAGTCCCTGATACGGATGAAACTCACCAGGTTTCCAAGCTCAGTGGAGCCTCGAGCATATATGAAAATGACAGGAGGACAAGCAGACGAAGCGCCGTTGGAAAGGTCATCGCGAGTGATGCTTCCAGACTGACGCCTCTCGAGCTCAGCAAGAACTTCACGTTCAGAGAGAGAGTTGGAAGTGGGAAGAGCGACGGTCGCAGCGGCGAAGAGTGAGAGGATGGTGATGAACTTCATGATTGATATGAGTTAATGATTGGATTGAGTGTTGTTGTGAGTTGCTGGCGATTGTGGAATGGCTGAGATGCTTGTGAGGTGAAGAACTCATTTCAACGGGACAAACACGTCTATTTATCATATTTCCTCAAGTCAACTCCTCTCTGCTATTTTCTTCTACATCTACACTCATTTCTATCTCATCGTCTTACAATTTCTTCATCTTATCCGCTATCCTCCCAAGCCTTCTCCAAACCTCGGCTCCATTCCTCAAGGAGGGGAAGCTCATACACACAGAAATCTTACCTTCACTCATCATAAGACCAAGACCCCGCACTTCACAACACCACCATCAGCCTGTTCAACGAATCACTTAATCAAGGACTGTCTCAGGAACTATTGCACTAGAGTATGATTTCTCGGAGCTTCGTTACTCTGCATCGTTTTAGGAAATACCAACAAACTCTAGCAATCTCACGATGCGGAACTCTACCGAGTTAAAGTCACTAGTTCCCTTGGTTAGTGTTGTTTGAATGGCGGGAATATTTTAGAAAACGGGCGCTAATCCAGGGTGAGATGATCTTGCGAAAATAGCTAAACACCATGATTATGCCGAGGTCATCTTATTGGAGCAACTGGGGAAACGATCAGCGGATGGAGGTTAACAACCAAGATATTACCATCAAAATCATGGATTTAGCGGTCAAGTAGTCAGAGTAATCTTCATGTGTACTACTGCATGTAAGTCTGAACATGTATTAAGGCGATGAAAGAGAGAATCAACCTCGGCACATTAATTAAGTCGTACTTGGCAGTGAGCCTATGCGTAATTAAACCAATAGCAAGAGCTTGGGACCTCGTAGAACTGTCTTAGAAGTTAAAGTAATTGCTACCTTGGGAATATTAGTCAGATCTAGACAAGCCAAGTACTCCGGTTGTGTATTGTGGAAATCGAGATGTTTATCCGGTATCGCCAGTCACACTTTAGCATCATAGATTCCAGGTGACTGCGCTCGCGATATCTATAGAGACTTTATTCAAATCGCTGCCCGACATCAACTGCCAGATCTCACTACTATATACCGTGGTTTTGCCTTTCACTGCTGGGCACTCATTGTTGAAGCCTGCTCGGAGCATCTACCTTAGTCGGTACCTGGTGGATGTGCAGGGGTATGCAATGCAAGTACAAAAAGCCGGCTGTCTCTCTTTGGCACTACTGCCTCGCGGATGGCAAGAAGTTGTGAGCTAGAAGTGTTATTTGGAGTTGAGACTTGTGGTTGTGAGCTTATTCCGGCAGAGAGAAGCTAGAGCCTTATATTTACCGTGAAACTTACTTTCCATCTCTATGATGGTATTTGTGAAAACTGGGTATCCTTTTCTGGCACTCAGGTTCCTGACCTCAATACTAATATGTACATCGAAACAGGTAGAGACGCGAAATGTGGTGTTTCGCAAGCCACTCATTGTTTGGCTGTGTGGCGTGTGTGAGGCGTCAGCTGTGGGGACTATCAACTCAAAATAACACTCTCGTAAACTCAGTTCAGAGCTTTAACTCGAGTTGAGCACATTAATGACCTGTGATCGCAGCCTAAAGCCTAACCTTATAGGCGCAAGTCATCCGGTCATCCATCATGTTCAAACAGAAAAATATGGACAGTTAACTCTTGAGGCAACAAACTCTGTCGACTTGGCAGCCAATGAACTTAAATGAACCCGGCCCAAAGATTGATTGAGTTTGGTCACCGTCTTGCTGTCACCGTATGGCTTGTTTTAGGCTTCCATTTAACGTTGAAACCCATAAAAGTCTTCACGGCAGGAATACTCTTACTCACCAGTCTCCAGCTGCTTGTCCATTTAAGTTTTCGATCATGATACCAACTTTCAGACACAAGCCTCATCCGCGAATGACGCATCCACTTTACAAACCTTGATATGGCGCAACAAGATCTGACCACTTACTGTAGAATAAGCTTTGGCATTCTGAAACTTAGCTGATGACTCTTTTATGGGATGTCATGGTATATAAAACGCTGCCTCTTCTACATCCGCCGCCACAGTCCAACTCAGCATCACCAAACCAAGAATCTCCCGAGACAACAACAAAGTGCGTCCGACCACCAACACCAGCTATCGACCCGTCATGATCAACATGCGATCTTCCCACTCAATATTGTTATTCGTTTCAGCTTGTCTGGCGGCAGATGTCAACGTTGCCTGGCGTCTCGACCATGAAACCAAGACCTCAGCATTGCTAGCAGTAGACACCAACGGCACTGTCATAGCGGGAACATGTGGCAACATTATTAACGCTAGAGACCCGATCGACTTCTCATATCTTGATGAAAGCGATGGAAGTGGTAAATTCTTCATCGGCAATGCCAGCTACCTGGTTCACAGTAACCCTGTGTTTTCTGGTGGACCTGTGTGCTCCCGCACCTACAACCCAGATCACACTCTTGTGCATTGTTCAGGTATCAGCTGGGATGCTGTTGATGCCATTGGTGACGAGCCAAGAGACTGCTTTGCTAAGGCTCCCACGGATGGCGAGCTGATGGACCTTCAGAGCAGAGAATTGGACAAGACTAGTCAGATGCACAAGCGAGGTTGGTGGAAGAAATTTAAAAAAAAGATGCGGAATATGTTTTCAACAGTTAGACTAGAGCTTGTTGGCGATGGTAAGTGTTGACCAACTACCCCCTCAACATAACAGTCACTAATTCGACTACACAGGCAATCCTCGCCAGCATTACTACCACACACAGTTATCGGTAAGACAACACCCTTGTGCCTTGACCAACAGTTGATTGCAATATTTGTACTAACAAAATCCTGGCCAGGAAACCATAGACTGCGGCGCGGCCTCAGGCTGTAGCGTCGGCGAGTCAGATACGGAGTCCCGCACTATCTCGGCCAGTTGGACCTTAACCGGCCCGGATAAAAGCTGGGCAAACTTTGGCTTCGGCGTCAGCAAAGCATGGTCAACTGGCAATTCCTACACCTGCAGCGGGGTGAAGAATGAATCGGTCTGCGTTTGGTACAAGGTCGCCCACACGACATGTAAGTTACTCGGCATGGAATACGTAGCTGAGACGATGCTGACCAAGATTAGACACTGTAAAATCCTTCACGATCCCGCCGGGTGAGTATATGAACAACCAAGAGGTGGAAATATACGACATTTCGTCTCCCAACAAGAAAAACAAGGGTGGGAATTACTACTGCGTTGTCGGTAACTGTACATCCCAGGATGATGGTTGGTGGGACAGGGTGGGTCGGAAAGGCGTTGCTTGAGATTGCGGAATAGGAGGGGGGGCAATTGCATTCTCAGCTCACATGGGAGTTTGCCAGGTTGGCAGTGTTTTTGTTAGCTCCAAATTGTGGATTCCTTATTGTAATTAAAATCCCATTGCTCTTACTCAAGCGTACATTGAATATCCTTTGTAAGATGTATACATGATGATTGCATCGCAGTGGTAGTTCATCAGTTATCAGGACGCATCCATGTTGACGCCATGCTGAGATATGCCTTGGGAAGCCGCAAGATTACGATTTGATTGGTTACCGAGGGGCGAACGTCGACTGGCGAGAAAAGGGTGGAGGAGTTTCACTCGCGAGTAGGGAGCTCAAAACATTCTTGACTCATTCAGGGCCAATCCCTTGCTTGGAGCTCCCCTCAAGTTTTTATCGGCACTTCAGGTACATGATGGCGCTCTGAACTTTGTATCTGGCACTCACTGGCTTTGCTAACCAATGTACGGAATCTAGGAGCATGGCTTCCGGGAACCCAGAGACGAAGCGGGGATCTGATGACTGCTAGTGATTTAGAGGACTTGAGACCATTGGCTGTTCATTGCGATAGCTACCATCATTCAAATTAACCTTCTAAGTACGATTGTCTATATAAAGTCTGCTCCTGGATAAACTGCACCTATTGTTGGTGCTGTTAGGCATTGGAAGTCAAGCTCCAGACTCCACGGCACTGAAATACTGTAGTCTTGTTGACAGCCTAGCTGAAATTGATCCCATGTAACGACTGGTATGTCTGTAGTCGGGTTGCAGATTTGGGCCACGTCCTCAATATAGAATGTGTCGGGCATGAATCCCGTCAGGATAGTTGCATCGGGTAGTAGACTATTATAGTCAATTTCCTTTTGGGAATCACGGATGCTGGGCTGTGGAGGATAGTGGTCGACGGCGGGATGCCCTCCACTGAAGCCTAGGACTACTGGAGCATATCCGTCGTGGTAACCCAGTGTTTCACCACAATTTGGAAAGTCTTCACGCTTTTGAGTATCTTCAACCTCCTTAAGCGGGCTTCCATTACTGGGGCTGCAAGCCGGGTCTGAAGCATCAGCACATCCAATATCGACAAAGACCTCGCCCTTGAGAGGCGAGCCATGGCTTGATCGCGACGATTTCACCTCGCTGCCGAGACCCGAAATCTTTTCAATCATTGTCAGCACTGTTCGTCCCACTGCCCACACTTGTGCCAAATCTTTTATGGCTCCTAAGCAAGTGCTTAGTCGTCGGTGGGCCAGTCTACTGATTGACGGAGATGGCGTGTTCGACACGTGTAGGTGTATGACGATTGCTGAAAAGAGGCTGTGGACGATGAATGGAGGACAGCGACGTAACTGTTGGCCGTCGCTAAGGGCTTCGATGATCGAGGTGATCATGTTTGCTGCGCGAACAGTCCCATCTGGTGATCCATAAGATTGCTTTGTGTCCTGCAACGTCTTTCTGTTGCGAGGGGAGCTTGCTCGATGCAGCAGACAACGAGCACTGAAGTAGTGCAGGTATAGTATTCCAGACCAAAAGTGGTGCTTTGATCTCTCCCATCGCATGGTAATAGGGCACTCTTGGTTCCATTGGGATAGTGCTGTGCCAATAGAGGTGATGTCATCGCAGTCTTGACCGTGCCTGGATAACTTGGAGTATTTCGACGCGACAAGTCCGATCAGTTTACACAGCTTCACGTACTGGATGAAGAATTCCACGTGAATTGGATCGGGCGGGTATTCATCGACATTATTCCCATCATGCTCAATAAAGTCATCGTCGGTTATCATATCGACGTCGCAATCATCGAGATTGATGGATACTGATTGTCCCAGGCCAACAGCCAAAGCGCGATCTCGAGTAAATAGCGTCCACCATATTCGCCTACGAAGCCTCTTTTCGCTTATTGACAGACCCGAATTTTCCATGTTGCGATGGAGACCGAAGTTTTGAGCCACAGCGATTGCGGATTGACTCCAATAAAACATGTTCTTGGATATGTCATCGGGGCCAGCCCAGTACCAACCCATTAAGAGCATTGATTGAACCAAAGTTATTCGATCGCGCTCGTAGTCAGCATCGTAAAGGGCTTTTGCGCGTCGATAAAATGTTGCGACGGCAGTTGAAGTTGATCCATCAACTTTCAATTCTGAGTTTGTGCTAATTCGGGCGCCGGCCAGTAAGACACACTGAAGGAGGAGCATTGAGGGAGGATTTGTGGGATCTCGGTATTGTGACATGAATTTTGTACGGTTGATGACAGGTACAATCGGGTGAACCCATGAAAAGTAGGTCTCTATCAAGTCGTCGCAAAGTCGTTTCGGAGGTAGCACAAAGGCTCCTCTTCGTTGCAGGATCCGCATCTCGAGAGGTTCTAATCCACCTGGTATTGACAGCGCAAGTGTATCGTGAGGCATGGGGAAATGTACGGGGCTTTGGCTTCCGCGAAGGAGAAGGTCAAAGCCTGCAGATTCGCCAACATAAATCACATGGCCTGCCGATGTGATAGGCAGAACATTGAACTTGGTCGGTGATATAACTCCATCTTGCTGGGAACTTGGTTGGTACGCCTGAGTACTTGACGCCGGCGCGCTGGTACGGTCGATTGAGAAATCTCTCTGTACTCTAGTCCTTGTCAGTACGTAAGATCATTAAACGGATCATTACGACTCATACCTCGTGTCTCCTCTTTTCCCGCGGCTGGTCAGAATGCTCACCAGAGGTTCCTCTATGCCTGGAACCTGACACTTGACATTAAATGCAGCGCAATTGGTGCAGGGAATCCCTTTGCTCAGAGCATCACATCGAACCTTTCTTGTATGACACGTCTGAAGGATAGGTAAGATCCAGTGCAAGATGAGTGGCACGCCAGGTCACTTACCAAGCAGGCTCGAAACGATCGAATTTTTAGTTGTCTACATTTGTTAATCCACTAGTTCGGTAAGACGAGACTATAAGTGCATACCTCCGTTGTCGCGGTTTTTGAACTGATGTAGCCATGGTTGATATCTGGAGAAATGAAAATAAATGACGGTCAATTTCAGTTCGTAAGGATAAGTATAGTAGAGCCCCTCCGTCATTCCCAAACTGCGCACTAGCCGCGTTATAAGTTGAAGAATGACCATCAGCAGCCTAAAGATCGTCGCTCAGGTGCCTGCTCTAGCGCGGTGATGGCGTTTGCACTACTGTACCCCGCACTTTCGGATGCTACTGTAGCCACTGTCTAGCTCCGGGGAAAAGCTAGGGGGGAACGGTACGTGCCCGAGGGTCGGGTATGACCGACTCCTGGGCTAGGGACGGGGCAACAAGATTCACCTCCTTCGCAAATTTGGAGCCCGTAACGGGCAAAGTGGTGTCATCTTGGATTCCCCTCAAAACGCTAGCCAGCAATAAACTTCAGCTAACCCCTTCCACAGCAAGACCTCAGCTGTGCAAGGCTGCAGGGGGATACAAAAGTTCCTGATCGGCAGGTGATATAGCACGGTACAGTCCAGGGCAATGTCTGTGCTTGAGCCACAGGAGAAGATCGGCACTTGTATAATTACTGTGTATTATTACGTTGCGCTTGGCCACGTGCCAGGATCTCATGCGTAGTCCCATACTATCAAGGCTGCTATCTGGAAAGAATGTAGAGCCCACTAATTACGATATTTATGAAACGTTGGTCTCTATCCAGCGTACTGTAGTAGACTACCCAAGACTCCATGAGGCTGACCGTGAGACCCTGCCTGGACTCGCTCTCTAGCCAATGATAGGACCAACCGGCTTTCCGACCAGATTAACCAGGGCCTCAATCAAGGCAGCAGAGAGAGTGATTGAACCCTTGAGATCTAGAAGGGAAGACGCCACGTTACTGGTCTTGCACTGGCTGGGTCCTTTCCTGCCATTCATGATATCCTTTAACCACGCCAGAGCCTTTCCAGCTCCAACGATAGCGAGCGAACCATGCTCTGAGAGCAAGTCTCTATCATACTGAACCTTGGTACCACCAGAGCAGTAGAACTTGACAAGATCGTCAGTGTCCTTGATGGGGCTGACTTGATCCTGAATGGACTTGTAAATGAAGAGAGGGATGCTGGGGTTGTGTTTGCCGAGAGCATTCTCGTCCAAGATGCTTTTGGCGGGTTCTTCTGTCAAGATGGCAGGGTCTTGGAGCATTCCGACCACGTCCTGTCCCAAGAACGAAAGAATATCAGCCACAAAGCATTGCTTCCCAACAGCGTCGAATTTAGCCTTGTACTCTGGCTTGATAGCAGCATCAAGTCCTAATTTAAGGATCGGGTATTGCTTAGTGAGTCCAATCATGCCGGGAGGAATGATACCAGCCAAAGGTCCCTTGTTGATACTCTTGATCACAGATGTGATGTTGGGTACAGTACCACCAAGCGCAGCACCGGCGATGCGAAGCTCTGGAGCATAAGACTGCTGAAGCTCTGCTGCTGAAGCTGACGCGATACTGCCACCAGAGTATCCCCACATTCCGACAGTGGGGTTCTTGGAGATGCCTGTGAAGTTGGCAGAATTGATGGCAGCTCTAATTCCGTCGAGCGTGGCATATCCAGCGAGTTTGTTTGCCAGATAGGCTGCGTCAGGACCTTCATGGTCTGGAGCAATAACGACCCATCCCTGCTCGAGAGCTGCTTCGATCAGCAAAAGCTCTGCTTGGGTGACGATTGTTCCAAGAGGTCCGCCAGTGGCAGAAGCAAATTGAAGGGCATAGGATGGAGCACAGCCAGCGTAAGCTGCATCTTCAGCGACCTGGTATGAAAGGACCTTTGTGAAGTCGGCTTTGTACGGGACCAGGACGGTGAGGACAGTGGAGAGAGCCTTGCCAAAGTTGTCGTTGGTTCTGTAGGAGATTTGCCAAGTGTCCTTCAAGTTGACAGGAGATACACCGAATGCAGCGATGGGCGAAGGTGGTTTGCGATAGTCGATGATGGTGCCGGGGGGGTAGTCATTGATGTTATCAGGGACCTTGTAGAAAGAATCTTCGGTGGGGAGTACAGGCTGCTGTCGCTCGTAAACAGGGACAGACAGAGCTAGAGTGGAGAATGCCGCCACCGACAGCAGGATGAAACGAGGAAACATGACTGAAGTGATTGGACTTTCAATAATGCACGCAAGTGGGTTTATGCAAGCGCCACAGAGATGTCAATTAAAAGACCTCTTGCTCGATGGCTCTATCATCAAGATAAGGATATTAAGTATAGTTAAATAGACGATTTTGTTTATTACCCCAGACTGGTCCTGTGTTACCCCATGTGAATCCTCGGACGAAGCGATTCAGCTTAGCCTTACTCGAAAAGTCTTACTCCTGTGCAGAGTGACATTAACCCTCCATTACAGCTTTGGACGCTAGTGAGCGCTATTTTGGTCTTGCGGGGGTACAATTGACGATCCCTTCCTTGCTGGGCTGTTATTGAAAGCAGAGTCCTCGGCTTGCACGGGCATTGCAAACTCCGCCTTAGCGTCTACATAGCCCCGAGCATCACAAGCTTCAGGTCAAAATGTGCGGGACGGATACCCTAGACTGAGCTCAGGAAGCTAATAGGACTTCATTTAGGGAGTACAAGCTTGTTACTCACGCTCTACCCTATTTCTCACAGAACAAATGCATCAGTGTTGATTTACGTTACGACCGCTATACACCCTCGCTCTGCCAGAGCTCCTCAATGGCATCCTCGGCATCATACCCATAGGCCCAAATCTGAGTTACAGGGTCGCTCCACTGATTTGTGCTCTCAACAAATGGCCGCCCTTCCACTTCCGCCCTCATTCCGAGATCCCTAGCCTGCTGCAGGGGGCCGTCTGGAAAGTGCCATAGCTTCCCATTTACTAAGCTTGCAGACTGCATGCCGTAACTTCGGTTCATCCTCTCCTTCTCAAAGACTTGCAGCGCCGTTGCGACTTGGTCCTTGTGCTTGATCTTTGAGATTGCTGTGGCTAGAGCAGCGCCGTCTTCTACGGCCATAGCGGCACCTTGGGACATGTAGGGTACCATTGCATGGGCAGCGTCTCCGAGGATCAGAAGCTTTTTACTCCTTGAGATCCAGGTTTGGAGACGGCTGCCGCTCATTAGGGGCCATTTTAGGGTACTCTTGATCATCTTGATCACCTTGAATAGCCTGATGATATTTAGTATCTATCGCTGCATGTGGTTTGGAAATGCCTTACTTTGGGTCCCAGTCTTTGAACGAGTCTTGCATATCGCGGATCGCATTCTCGGCGTTCCATGTATCCGGCGACGAATGGTCTACATGAGACAAAACCATGTTGAAAGAGTTGCCTCCGGCGATACAGTAGGTCATGACATGTCGGTCTTCCCCAATCCTTAGACGGTCAACATTAGCTGCACTACTAAAAACATGTCACACGTACCAGATATTGATCCCGGGTTTCTCGAGTAACCAGGCTGTGTCTTTATCCTGCTTCATCTCCTCTGTATTTACTGTCGCGCGATAAGCCGCGAAACCAGTCTTTTGTGGTGGCAGGTCTGAGCCACCGAGAACAACTGATCGAGCTTGTGACTTGACTCCGTCTGCAGCGATTACCAGATCAGCTCGGTATTCACGACCATCGTAAGTCTTGGCGGAAGGAATTGACTCGTCGTAGTCGGTGACCCTGCTGTCTGTCACAATCTTTACTCCGAGGTCTTCTGCTCGTCGACAAAGGGCGCGATGGAAATCTGCACGATGGATAACGTAATAGGGTGCTCCGTATCTGTCTTCAAAGTCTGGGGAGAGTCTTGTATATGCAATCGGATCGCCGTTCGCCCATCTGCGAAATGTCATGCTGTCTGGCTTCACGGCATATTGTTCGATATATGGACCGAGACCCCACTTCAATAGCAATCTGCCAGAGTTCGAAGGGATCTGGATACCTGCACCAACCTAGAGTATACACGTCAACCGACGGTCGTGCTTTTGTATAGCGTATACGTACCTCACCCAAGGTAGCTGCTTGCTCCAAGACGGTAACTTCGTGGCCTTTGCGAGCAAGCGCGACAGCAGTGGCTAGACCACCAAGTCCTGCACCGACAATCAAGATTTGAAGCTTGACTTGAGGGTCGGGCAAATGGCCATTGCCGTTAGCATGCTCGGCAGTTTGATGAAGTCTCTCCAGGAGATTGACGGATCGTGAAGGGTATACCGTAGCCTATTGGAGTGAGACAATAACTCACTTCAGTGGAGGGCGAGTAAACACGTACCGGCTGAGTAATCTTGTTCTTGGCCATTGTTGTTTTAGTCACATGTGTTTCTTGGACTCTTGAAACTGCTCCTCGAATGATGTACTTGTAAGTAAATTGTCAGCAATGCACAGACGAATTATGTAGTTTTGTGATGTGTTCGGTAGCATGAGGGGCGAGTGTCGCGGGATCGCCTCCCGATAGTGCCCCGAAGTCGATACCACCGCTGCATCTGCCGGTTCACCAGCAATAAAGCTTGCTACCTTGGCAATCATTGATTGATAATCACCTCAATCGTTCTGAAGTATATTTACGATACAATAGGCAAGGTCATCAAGGGATCAAATTCAAAGCCCTAGATAGATAAACACAATTGCCAGCAGCCACACAATTTGCATCAACTGAACTTCACTCATCGTCAGAAACATCCAAGAGATCAATCAAAATGGCGCCTTCTGCAGTCACAGCACCCACCGGTGACCAGCCTCTTGGCGACGTCACTCCAGCCAAGTCACTCAACACATCCGAGGAGCTTGTCGAAGCCCTCAAAGGTACCAACACAGCTCCTCTCTGGGCCCAGATGACACGCCTGAACCCTCCGGCACCAAACCCTCAAACTATTCCCTATGTCTGGTCATATGACAAGATCAAGCCATATCTCCTCAAGGCTGGACAGCTCATCACTGAGAAGCAAGCTGAGCGCCGTGTCCTGATGCTTGGGAACCCTGCAAGAGGTGAGCCGAGCAGCCCGTTTCCCCGCCCCCGGACTCAGTACTGACCTTTTTGGGCTAGCGGCTCCATACACCACGGATACCCTGTATGCTGGACTTCAGCTGGTGCAGCCTAAGGAAACAGCACCTGCACACAGACACACCGCCTTCGCATGTAGGTTCATCATCGAGGGCACAGGCGGCTTCACTGCGGTACATGGCAAGAGAGTGCCCATGAAGCCTCGTGATGTCATTGTCACTCCCACTTGGAACTGGCATGACCACGGAAAGAAGGGCGCTGATGAGGAGGGGGGAGATGACAAACCCGTCATCTGGCTTGATGGTCTTGACCTCCCCAGCTTCATCCACTTCCCTGTCCATTTTGTGGAACATCATACTGCTGCGCGTTATCCAGCTGAAGACTTCGAAGAGTCTGATATTGTCTACCCATGGAGCAAGATGCAGCCCAAGCTAGATGCCAGCCCTGATGAATGGGTCTCGGAGCCGTACCTAAAGCCTAGTGGGGCCGAAAGTAAGTGCTGACATTGACGACCCTTAAGCTTCAGCTAACATATCACCTAGTTGGTCGTATTATTGGTGCTTCGGCTGAAAGACTTAACCCGGGAGCCAAGTCGCCCGAGATCCAAGAGACAAGCTCTGCTGTCTACCATGTCATTGAAGGTTCCGGTTCCACTCAAGTCGGAGACAAAGTCCTTCAATGGAAGCAGGGTGATACATTTTGCATTCCCACTTGGCACAAGTATCAGCATCATGCAGATGATAACGGTAAGGTTTATCTATATCGATTTGATGATAAGCCGATGCTCAGGGCCTTGGGTTTCTACCGCGTGGCAGGAGTTGATGTCGAGACTTATGTCTCTGAATGAGAAGCGACGTAATCTTGTTTTCGGATGTATCAAGAGGGAATGGAGATAGCAATAGCATAGGCCTCCTAAATAAAACGATCCTTCATTTCATTATGATTCGTCTTGAGATCAACGCAGAGTCAAATGTTGGAGTAAGGCTATGCTCCTTAGTAAGGTTGAGTATCCTATCGATCCTCATGCAAGAAAATGAGAATAGCCTCCTTTGTGGTCGATCAAGCTCTGGAATCACTACCAGACATTTCCTGTGCTCGATGTTTTAATCTCTACTAATACAAGTTATGAGTGAGTCTGAGCTACATGCCACCAACTACCTGTCCTAGCTGGGATCCTTCTGCCTACTTTATCTTGTCGTTGAACCTCCTTCGTAACCCTCAATCATTTTCTTATGCTTACGTAGGGTACCTAACAACATCATTTCGGATTGTCCGGACAGACAAATACCAGCGTGACCACCTCACTACAGACTCTAGCATGCGTTTGACAGCTGATGATCCGGTGTCTGGCCAATCGCCTGGAAAATGGGTGGGTATCCGATGTTACCCCTAACGCCGGACTATACTGATTGGCGCGTCCGCGCCCTAGGCTACGAATCATTGTTGCTTGGCGTGCTCCCGGGAACCTTCTATTAGTCCTTAATACAAGTAATACGATATCTCGCCAAAATGATACTAAATTTCCGATATCGCGTTCCGGAAGTCGTAAATTCCACGGAAGCTCTCTCAGAAACAATGACAGATTCAACTATTGACCAGCCTGTGATTCGCAATGGACCGCAAGGTTATCGTGTTCCCTTACTTATCAACGATGCCCCAGTTTTGAAGGAGGATGATACTTCACGACATCAGTCCTTTGAAGGAGGGTACTTCCAAGGCGCTGATTTGTCTGACTGCGCGGCTGCTGTGGAGAGTTGCGGCAAAGCATTCGTGGCTTGGTCCACAACTTCTCCGACCCATAGGCGCGGTCTTCTCTTGCGTTTAGCACAGGTACTGAACTTCCTTAGCTACCTTAGATGCCATGACTAATAAAGTGAAAACGTAGGTACTCAAGGACCATCAGAATGAGGCTCGAAATATTATGAAGTCCGAGATACACTGCGACGATGAATGGGCTTCTATTGGTGTTACCACCAGTATCGATCTGATCGAACAGACTGCGTACCTCCTCACAGCGGGGAGCATGAGTGGCAGCATCCCACATACCCAACCTGAAGGTTCATATGGTTTGGTGTTCACTCGTCCTCTGGGGGTTGTTTTGGGAATTGCTCCCTGGAATTCGCCTCTCTTCTTGGCTTTTCGAGCAGTTATTGCCCCACTTGCTGTTGGAAACACTGTCATACTTAAGGTGAGAATCCTATCCATGATGCTTGGTGGTGAGATACTAATCTCGGTCCTCTGCAGGGATCTGAGCTTAGTCCTCGGATACATTACTTCATTGCCGGGTTGTTCGCAAAAGCTGGCTTCCCTCCCGGTGTCGTCAACTTTATCCTTCATCGACCGCAAGATGCCCCTGAAGTAGTCAATTATCTCATCCGAGACCCTGCTATCAGAAAGATCAACTTCACTGGCTCAACGCCAGTTGGGCGCAGTATTGCTGAGCAAGCGGGACGGGCTCTGAAGCCAGTATTGCTGGAGCTAGGTGGGAAGAACTGTTGCATCGTCTTGAAGGACGCAGACATTGGCCGTGCAGCTGAAGCAGCTCTTGCAGGAGCAATACTAAATGTAAGCATTACTTCTACTCTTTCTGGCAATTTGCTAATCAAGCTTGTGAATAAAGGGCGGACAGATATGCATGTCTACAGACCTTGTACTCGTGGAAAAGGATATCATAGATGAGTTTCGTGCTGAACTTACAAAACAGCTACAAAGCAGGAATGGCTCCGCGTATCGACTTGTCGGGCCAAAGAGCCACGCGCGAGTACAAGCTTTGGTCTCCGATGCAGAAGCCAAGGGATCCTCTATCAAGCTTTCCACGGAGCACCAGACCGAATCAAACCTGATACCCATCACGATCCTCGATAATATCAACAGCTCTATGGACTTCCTACGTACAGAGAGTTTCGGTCCCTGTCTTGGAATCGTCGCGGTCTCTGACGGGGACGAGGCTGTGAAGATCGTCAACGATAGTGATTACGGGTTGTCTGGTGCGATATGGACACAGAATCAGTACGCAGCATTGGAAATGGCGCGTCGGCTGCAAGTTGGCGCGGTACATATCAACTCGTCTACTGTTCATGATGAAGCGACTTTGCCTCATGGAGGAACGAAGCAGAGTGGATTTGGAAGATTTGGTGCGGAATGGGGATTGAAGGAGTTTGTTGAGACGCAAACAGTCATCATGCACCCGTGATTATATCGCTTACTTAGCTCTACATTAATAGCATATTCTTCAATCGTCCTCAAATATCACGTCGCATAAACGCGAAGTTAATTCGAAATTGTGCAATCTGGAAACCACCATTGATGTAGATACCTAATAATCCTTGGGTAATTGTGTGAGTAGCTGGTAACTGCCTAGATTGGGCTGATGAGAGTGTCATTTTCGACTGATAGACCTGGTAGCTGATGCTTTCATCACGCGCCTTCTCGTACCCAATTGTCATTGTCTTTGAGAATCATCACGAACAGAACTGGCTGCTACAGCGCCTCTACTGTTCGCTGTAACGATACGTCGAACACCGTCTTCCGAACTTCCCGTTCACTCGGCCTACGGGCATCCCACTCATAATTGCCACTTCGGTTAGGTCAGATTCAAGAGTATCCATGCCTAAGATAACGGCAAACTGGGGAGCCGAAGTCAGACCCCGCGGACTTGATGGCACAACGTTCAATAAGCGAGATTAAGACGCCGCGGGATTTGTTGAGTCGCCATCCCGCATGGATATGAAGCTTTCGAGCCATGCAAAACGCGTCACGCTTTGATTGAAGCGACGAGATCGTGCGGGGTAAATTCTGGGGTAAGAGCTGGATCTTTTTCCGGGGATCGGGGCAAAGACGGGAGACAGCGTCTCACTGCCGGAAGCATCCTGGCACGAGGCTTGGTCTAGACCAGCACAGGGCAATGGCCAGTGATAAGCGAAGGCATAAAGGATTGAGGCTCGAACCCTGTGAGCAAACACTCCTTTTTCTGATATCAGTCTCATCAATCAATTGTCATCGACACCGCTGCCAGTCATCAACTGTGCACACTACGAGGACCGCGTACTCGACAATGTCTATCTCTCCTTTCGTAAGAGCACCTCGAGTCACGGGTTCAATTGAGAAGACGAATGCTAATGGAACGCGACTAATAGGAATGGCCGCTCTGGTGGCGTATATGCGTTCTGCTGAACGTCAGCTTCTACAATTTACTCGGGAATGCCTGGGCCGCTGGTCTTTCTCCCGTCTTTGGATTGATCATTCAGGAGCTGCACTGCACGCAGGATCAGGCTTCGAACTTGCCAACGTATGCTCTGCTCGCTCTTGGACTCTCTGTGCGTTATCCACCGTCGTATCCTTGAGAAATCTCTTCCTTTGCTGACCCTTTCAGAATCTCTTCGCTCTCCCGCTATCACTCCTCATCGGAAAGCGCTACACCGTCCTCGGTTCGCTCGTCATCTTTATCGCGTGTAACATTTGGTCCGGCGAAGCCAGCGACTACTACTCCCTTCGAAACTCACGAATCGTTGGTGGATTGGCTGGTGGTCTCGTCGAAGCTCTTGGTCCCATCATCGTAGCTGAGACGTTTCCCACGCATCAGCTTGGAAGAGCCATGGCCGTCTATGTCGGCTTCCTCGCTGCTGGTTCCGCGGTCGGTCCCATGGTCGCTGGTGCGGTTGGAGTCAGCCTGGGAAGCTGGAGATGGTACCTGAGGATTCTGACAATCGCGACTGGCCTGAACCTCTTTGGTTCCATCTTGATGCTTCCTGAGACAACCCACGATATCGAAGAGCTGGACGCGGCTCAATCCAGACCTGGAAGCTCGCCCGTCGCCGAATCGAAACCTACGAGCAACTCGGTCGAGGATATTTGCATCTCATCACCGGCCGAAACTACAACTGGGGAGATCACTCCTGGCAGCTTCAGAAAGGAGTACATTTCGAGGTCATTCAGTGGCGAGTTTATGCCGATGAAGTGGAAGGAAATGGGTCTATCACTGGTCCGACCACTGCAATTGCTCATGGCCCCTCAAGTCCTCGTCACCGTGTACATCTTTGGCTTGACAATTGGCTGGACTGTCATTATTTCCATCCTCATCGCCGTCACCTACGCCCAACCTCCTTTGTTGTGGAATTCGCGTTCGATTGGTCTGCTCAACGTCGGTTCTCTTATCGGTCTTCTTGTTGGTCTCCCCGTTGGTGGTTACGTCGCAGACCTTCTCTTCATCCGCTCAACAAAGGGACGCACCCAGGAGCCTAATCCCAGGAGTAGACTGCCAATGATGCTTGTCGGAGGAATTGCCAGCCCTCTTGGCTGCATTATCCTCGGCCATGGACTTCAAACCCCTGTCCACTGGATCGTCGTCTGCGTTGGATGGAGTCTCCTTACATTTGGTTTGACAGGATCGGCTAATGTTCTGCTTACTTATTCGGTCAACACTATGCCTTCACGAGCAGGAGATATCGGTGTCCTTGTAAATGTCATGAAGAATTGCTTGGCCTTTGGTGTATCCTACTCTGCCATCAGTTGGATGAATGGTATGGGCCCACTCAAGCAGTTCGCAACTATGGCTGGTCTTCTTTGGCTTGGTTACCTTCTGGTGATTCCGGTTTGGGTTTTGAGCAAGTCTATTGTTCGCAGAAGTGCCGTTTATGCCCGGTAGAGGCTTGTAGGGAATTTGTCACACACATTATTTAGCTTTTGGTACAGCTCAATCAATTCCTATATCTACTTGACATTCTCGTGGTCTAGCCGCCCGTGTTACAGAACTTAACTAATGAGGATCGCGACATTAATACGTGTGCCACTTGACATAGCTGGGCGCCGTACCTGCAGGAAGTCCCTATCTGTGAAATTGCCATCACGCCTCGCCCATGGACACGACCCAAGCCTCGTTTAGCCGGATTCGCGCTGCAACTACTTCAAATTCTTCATTTTCTTCAGCGCGGAGAGCACCCCCTTGTCTCGATAAGCTGTTGAGACGTACAGCTGAACGAAATAACTGTGAGCTTATCTCGACATATAAAAGATGGTTTGCATGTCACTCGACAATAAACATTACGGAAAATCATCATTCATTGCAGCAAAACCCTGTATCGTCTTGAATCAGAGTTATAAAGTGATAGAATACTACAAATAGAATAATAATCTCATCAATAGAAGCAGTCCAACTCTCCGACGATGACAGAACGCCTTGTAAAAAGCCTGACAAGATGCCAAGTCGCGTGCTTACCCTACATCACTCAGCCGCAGTGAGGAATGCTTCCGCTTTGACCAATTGAATATCTCAGCCCGGGAGCAAAAACTGGGCTAACCAAACCCAGCAGCTGACCGAATCAGATCGACGCACAGCCTCAGATTGTGTTCTATATATAAACCAAGACCCGAGCAGTTTGAGATCATTGATTTTCCTATCCAGTGTCGCAGACATGCACCTTCACATATAAAATAAATCTGTCATAGCCATGCCGTTTTCAACTGCCTACGAAGACCCTTGGACAAGGTCCCCGGTTGACTTGGCCGACGCTGTTGTTGTGAGCTAACCTGCTGTTGTTTGGTGCCATGGATCCAAAGCTCATTCCTTATCGATAGCAACACCTTGAACTAATCGAGACATTCCTGAAGCTCCTCAAACACCTCAGTGATGAAGATGGAAGCATAAGTGACGAGACATTGGCATATTCAGAATGGCGCTATGCTATGTATATTCGTTTCATCGACATGCGAGGCTTTTGCCCAAATGATCACCCGCCTCCGTGGTAGGCACTGTGCCCTTGCGATACGAGCGTCTGACTGATGATAATAGGGATGTCGCACTTATCATGTATCTGCACATGCTGTCACCCTCTCGCTTTCATCACTATATCTACGATAACCGTAACCGCAACTTCAATGGCATCTTTGGCCTAGAACATCGGCATTTCCCTATGACTAAGCTGCTGGCTGGTGAATGGTGTCCCAGACGAACAAAGAAAGCCTGGGATGAGTGTAGTAAGATGAGTTCGCCCGGCTCCGAGTGCCGTGGCTCTAACTTACCGTATCAACTATGGCCCTCTGCACCATGGAAGCCGAAAAGATTCTCCATTCTGGGAAGCAAGGCAGATCGGCCACCATGTTCCGATCTTAAATGGATCACCCCGACTGGTAAAAAGCTCGAAGATGTACCCAAAGACCAACAAGGCAAAGTCATCCTGATGCATCAATGGGATCGGTGTCGTACAAGTGTGCACGAGCAAGGCTACAAGGTCTGGGACCTCCAGTCATACGCGGCGATACGAACTTGCAGGGTAGAGGAAAGATGCAGGAGTCAAAGTCAGCATGAACAGTTCAACGAGACATGCATGCTGAAGCCATGGCCATGTTTGCAGGATCTTCGAGCGGACCTTGAGCAACAAGTGTCTTTCTGGAAGGTTATACAACGAGCGAAGAATTCGGTACCTAGGTTTGTGGACAGTCTCAAGAATTCGGTAGTCGACTACGAAGACTTTCTAGGTCTTCTGGGTAGTGTGCTTCCAAAGAGTGAGACGGATGGCTCATACAAGTCAAAGCTTGACCCAAAGACAGCAAAGCCATCTCGTCACCCAAGCTCACGACCCTCTCGAATCATTTCCCCAACACTTGAGATCGATCTGCTATGGCAGACTCATCGCTTATTCCCAGCGAGTTACTGGGTTTGGTCGGCTGAGAAGGCAGACTGGGTGCTCGATAGAGAACGCACCGCAAATACCCAGGCGGCAGGTACACTGCTTCAACATACAAGACAATTATGGAAATCGAAGTATACTACCGAGTTGCGAAGAGGAGTGTCAGTGGAGGAGACCTTGACGGAGTACGTGCCTGACACAGTGAAGCATGCTGCTGCCAACGTGGAGAAGACTGATCTAAGAACTCTGCTCTTGGGTCGTGATGCACGGAAACAGAGACGGGTTATTAGAAGGGGTCGAGGGGACGATATATCTGGCGGTGGAGGAGCGGGTGATTATGGAGGGTCTGGGGGTTGTGATGGAGGCGGCGGTGGTGACGGTGGCGGAGGCGGCGAATAGGTAACGATCGGACAGTCAAAGTCACAAGATTGTGAAAGACGGAATTGTAATGAAATTGAACTGAAGAGTCGATTACGAATCGCGACAACAGGGATCAACAGATATGAGGGAGGCAGGAGTAGAGCTGTAGAAGGAGGAAACAGTAGCAAAGAAAAGGAAGAAAAGAGGCTGGACGTGCTTCCTCGTGGACTGTGTTTTCTACCTTACACCGATGTCAAAGACTGTTAGCGAAAGCTTGGTGCAATTCCATCACACGTGGAGATGCCAGAAGATGCCGCAATCCTCTCACTGTGAAATTGCCACGGCGACGATCTACTGCTAGCGGTCTGACGAGACCAGCCGCGTACGGAATACTCGGATGCACTGGGCTGTAATGATAACCATTGGTTCCGCCCTGTTTACGTCATTCGTATGGATCATTGCTAGCTCAACTTGCGCCCTTTGCTTGACACTAAAATTGTCTAGAAAGACTTGGCAATGAGGGAATTATTGACTTCTCCAGGTGAGGAGATGATACTCCGCCAATATTGAGGGGGATTCGTATTGCAAAATGGCGCGTGGGAATGGGGCTTGTTGGGGTAGCGAGACACCAGTTGGAGTCTAGAAAAGTCGAGACGAAAACCCCGCAGTTCTCCGCCTGCTCCGCCCCGAGTTTAATTCAAGCTTATTCCAGGTGCATGGCTGTTTACTTGTCGCAGTGACCAAGAGGTGCATTCCCATTCGTTACCCAAGGGCCTTCATAAGCCTTCTAGGCCAGACTATTTGTTCTAGCGTGTTGCAGCGGCCGTTATCTCCCTGCGCCTCGGGGGGTTGAATTGGGGCTCGGACGTCCGAGGTCTCCAATGGATCAACAACATTATGCTACAGTATGACATCTTCGCAATAAAGCGCGGGAAAAGACGGAATTCAATGTCCACTGTTGTCGTGTACTCGTATGTGGGTTGACAGCCACAACTTTAACCTTGTGGGCAGCACCCAGCGACGGAGAAGTCTATTGCCCCGTGGGGTAGAATGGTGCAGGAATGATGGAATCTTGCATGAACAGGGGCATAATGGGGTGCTCCAGACGGATGCAATACTGGAGACCGACCGTCGGTATTGTAAGTGCGATCAAACTCACCGAAAAGTATAGATAAAAGGGTCCCTGCACAACTCGTAGGAGATTCTTTGGTCCAAGCTACCTCTCTACCTATCTCAGAGGCAGTGGCATCTCCTTTCAGTCAGAACCCCTTCGACCTCTTGTCCCGAAGTCAGTCAATTGCAGTCGCCATGGCCGATATTGAGAAGCCGTTCCCAATTGAGACCGAAAAGGTCGATAACACGACCATAGAATACGAGCGAGCTCAGCTTCTGGCTCATCTACCAGACCCTGATGCTGGGAAAACGGTGGAAGAGCGTCAAGCTATTGTAAGTACAGTCACCAGCGCACTGATACCACGAAATGACCGAGTTAATTGATCAAAACAGGAAAAGAAGCTGATGTGGAGGGTTGACCTGGCCCTTATCCCATGGCTGTCTTTCCTCTATCTCCTATCCTTCCTCGACCGTACCAATATCGGAAACGCGCGCCTCGCTGGTCTCGAACTTGATCTTGGGATGGTCAAAGGGGACTACAATAATGCATTGACGATCTTCTTCGTCTCGTATGCTGTCGTCGAACCTGCAACAAATGCCCTGCTCAAGAAGATCACGCCTCGGCTATTCTTCACACTCATCATTCTGACTTGGGGACTGATTATGACTCTGATGGGTCTCGTCACCAACATCAAGGGCTTGCTAGCTGCTCGGTTCTTCCTCGGTATGGCCGAAGCCGGACTCTTCCCCGGAGTCAACTATTACCTCTCTTGCTGGTACAAGAGCTCTGAAATCGGCATCCGGTCTTCTATCTTTTTCTCGGCAGCTGCACTGGCAGGCTCCTTTGGCGGTTTGCTTGCCGCAGTCATTGCGAAGATGGACGGAATTGGCGGGAAACCCGGTTGGGCTTGGATCTTTATCTTGGAGGGCCTTGCTACTGTTGTGGCTGGACTGGCGTGCTGGTGGCTCGTCTTTGATTGGCCAGCGACAGCGAGCTTCCTTAGTCCTGATGACCAGATCCGAGTCCAACGTCGCCTGATCATGGACCGACAAGGTCGAACTGCCGAGGATTTCGACAAGAGACATATGTTTGCTGCTTTGAAGGACTGGAAAACATATGGATATATGCTTATCTACATGGGCTGTCTTACTCCTCTATACGCCTTCTCCCTGTTTCTCCCGACCATCATTGCTGGCATGGGGCATGCAGGCACAAAAGCCCAGCTTCTCTCCGTACCCCCTTATGCAGTTGCCGCGGCTTTGACCATTTGCGTGGGATTCTACGGCGACAGGACCCGACAGCGAGGTTACTGTAACATCGCCATTGTTTTGCTTGGCATTGCTGGTTTTGCTATGCTCATGGCGACGTCCAACCCCACAGTGCAGTATGTCGGCGTCTTCCTCGGCGCAGCAGGCATTTACCCCACCGTCCCCAACACTCTCTCCTGGTTGAACAATAACACTGAGGGGTCACTAAAGCGCGCCTTTGTGCTCGGAGTAGTGGTTGGCTGGGGCAATCTGAATGGCGTGGTGTCATCAAACATTTACTTGCTTCGCGAGAAGCCGCGTTACTATACGGGACATGGGGTTGTCTTTGGCTATCTGGTGGTTTTCCTGCTTGGTGGATCTATCCTGATGCATCTGGGACTTCGTAAGATGAACAGGGATCGCAGCCTTGGCAAGATGGATGCCAAATGGGACAGCTTGTCAGATGAACAGAAGTGGGTTCAAGGTGACCTGCGACCTGACTTTAAATACACCCTATAGACCAGACAGTATTATATAGCTGATGTCACTTAGCCATTATATACCAAAATCTCGACGTCTGCTCAAGACTCTCTTCTTGACATCTTCAGGATATCCATTCTCGAAATCACAAGTCACCCAGCCTTGCTTCCCTTCATACTCTTCTGGCAACAAGCAATTGGCCACGACCTTTCCTCCCGTGAGCTTTGTCCCCGGTCCGTGCGACATGTACGGAACCAGTGGATAAGCGGGGACATCCTCGAAATGAAACTCATCCATCGCTGGTCTACATCTCGTTGCAAAAGCCCAAGTGACATCATTCATGTCGAAGGGGTTAATATCCTCCCCTACAACAAGCAAACGGTGGATCTGCATACCGCACTTGTTGCGGAACACAAGGTCTCCTATCTTGGTACAGAAGTCCTTGACGTTCGTTTTCATCTCGGCTAGCCTCTTGCGGTTGACTTGTACAGCTGCCCAAATGACCTGCGTCTCGAACAAGGCAAAGACTTGAGTCACTGGCAATCCGTGCTGCTGGAGCAAGTGCCGAATCTCAGCAGAGGCAAGTGTGCCAATCATGGTATGCGTCTCATCTGGACCCAGGTTCGCGCGTCCAGGTACACAAACTGGTAGAATTGGGCTGTTGCGATAAGTGATTGCTTTGACAGTATACAGAGGCTGCTGTGAGTTCTCATCGAGAAAACTATAGCCGTGCATCTCGCCGAATGGACCCTCCTTGGCAGTATCTTTGATAGAAATGGTCCCCTCCAACACGATCTCGCTAGTCGCTGGTACGTACATATCGTTGGTTTCGCACTTGACCAGCTCTAGTGGCGAACCACAGAGTGCGCCGACGTATTCGGACTCTGAGACACCAGCTGGTAGGGGCATACTGGCCGCCATGGTAGCTATAGGCGGGGCTCCCAGGGCGATGGCATACGGGACGTCTTTGCCGGTCTTTTTCCATTCTTCGAAGATCCTGGCGATATGCTGTGGCTTCATGATAAGACCGACCATTCGTGTCTTATCATAAACCATTGCGCGTGCGATGGACCAATTTGTCCATGGCTCTGTTGGATGGGGTATGATGTTGATACCCAATGTCTGGATGTAGTTACCCCCATCGGCCTTGTTCAAAAGAGGAGCAGGCAACTTGGTGAGATCGACATCATCACCCATAATGATGTTTTCTTTGCACGGCCCAGTAGACACATGAACTGGAGGCAGTGGCCGTTCTCCCTTAGCCGACAGCATCTTGTCGATGACATCTTTCACGCCAGCATCTTTCGGAAGGGCAAGGTGCTGAGCCAGACGTCGGTAAGGATACTTTGGATCACTGGAGAAACCAGCTGGCGCACCGAGGATGCGAAAGAGGCCGTCTTTTGCGCCCTTCACATTGTGGAACAACGGAGCCTTGGCGCGCTGTTCATACGCTAGACGGATGGCAGCTGCGACTTCGAGTTTGGGATCGACTTCAGCGGTGATGTCGGCCAAGTCGTTGTCCTTTCGCAAAGTGTCCACAAAGGCCCTGAAGTCAAGGTGCGCGGGAGAGGAACTCCCTCCTGTTGAGAGTGACCGACAGGATGTACGGCTCACCAGGAGCCTCTTTGTCAAGACAGGGCAAAGTCGCAGCATAGTTCTCCTTAAATCTTTAATATGTTACAGTGAGAGAGGTTATCTTCATGTTGGGCCTTCCAGTTCGTTGACCGCCCACGGCATTTAAGTGGGTAAAGCATTGTCGGCCGCCTCGTACCACATCTGGAAATGCGCTGTAGTCAGCTTTAGCAAGCATGTTATTAAGCACTACTGCAACGATCTGTCATCTCGCAGCAAGCCACAATGTAACAAGTCTTATCTCGATCGCGAAGCCGTACCGATTATCCGAAATCACACCACTACAAAGGTCCAATCGTTTCACCGTTCTCGTCCCTCTATCCTGCTCGGGCCCCGTCCCTAGGTATCCCAACCCGGCGGTTTTAGAATTCAGTCTTCGGAGTGTATATGAAGTAAGTTTCAGGTGCTTCATCGGCGACCGGTAATTGTTAGTCCCTCGTGGCCGGTGGACGTCAATTATCGGCAAGATCCTCGATAGGCTAGGTTGAATTGCTTTGGCTAATAAAGTGTCCTGGGTTTTGATAGAAGAGGCTCGAGATAAAGAAGACAGATGCAAATTTCGTATAGAAGCAGGACTGTGAGATGTGGCGTTTGCCTTGGGGCTTGTAAATCTTGGAATGATGCAAGATCGGCACACCCATGCTATCATATAGTGCTTACACCCTTGCATACGGCAACCAGGTGAATATTAGGATACTGAATGGCATGTTTGTAAACTCTGACTAAGTCTCATCTAAGGGTTTGTTGCATTTGTCTCTTGAAGCTGATCGACCTTTTACTCGTATAAGGATTGCAGTTTTTGGAGGCGTGTACAGGCTGCCCAGTGGATCCGATTTGCGATTCATGCCAGACCAAACAAGCTATTGGAATCTAAATTGGACCAACAGCTGCCCAAGAGCTTCAATCAACTTCCATACGGCCAAGATGCGCTGTATTGCTCGCCCATTACGTCTCTTCAGCACACATGACTTCCCAAGGCTTCCAGTCCCCTACCGCTTACGAGTTCAAATACGCCACCAATCATCCCTTATTAGACCCAATGGCCGTCAGAAACGCATCGTCGTTGCTATCACAGGAGCAACTGGTTCACCCTTGGCTGTTGCTCTCCTCAAACGTCTTCAAGAACTCAAAGTCGAGACGCATCTGATCATGTCAAAGTGGGGAGGGACAACACTCAAATACGAACTTGAAGCTCCAAATAACACGGCTTCGTACCTAGCATCTCTTGCCTCAGTCACACACTCATCACTGGATGTCTCAGCCTCACTATCCTCTGGCTCCTTTCGCACAGACGGCATGATTGTAGTTCCATGCAGTATGAAGACATTAGCAGGCATACGCATGGGCTACGATAACGACCTTATCGTACGAGCGGCAAGTGTGACATTGAAGGAGAGAAGAAGACTTGTTCTAGTGGCTAGAGAAACACCGCTGACGAGCATTTACTTGGAGAACATGCTTGAAGTGACGAAAGCGGGCGCTGTTGTATTTCCACCAATGATGGCCTTTTACACAAGACCGAGTTCTATTGATGACATGGTACAGCAAAGTGTGATGAGAATGATTGACTTGCTGGACCTGGAAGTCCTTGATGGCGATATACAGGATGAAGCTCGTTGGTCAGGATTTGACTGGGCAGGCAAGTGAAAGCAAAATACCTAGTGTAGGAATACAGGCTACCCTCTATATAATAGGTCTTTTATATCATCGCAACCATGCCTAAGACAATAATTCTTTTACTAAATATCTACATTTCTCATATGAAACCTCTATCCTGTACCTGTAGGCGAAACTTCTTCAGTAAAGAAATTGTTCCAGAGCACCTCTGAGCCAATATTGGCTGCTGCAATTGAAAAGTAATCATCTAGCAGCATAACTGGGTCTGGGAAGAGACTATGTTCCGGCTGCTGAGGAAGATCCTCAAGCCCCAAGACCTGTTGCTGAGATATTGGGCGCTCTTGGTGTACCTTTTGAGGTATATCTTGTTTTTCGCTGCTCGAATCTTGAACTTGAAGGTTCATTAGTGGTTTGATGGTCTCGTTCAACTCCCCTTGGCCCATGGCTAGACGACAGTAACTCTCGACACATCGGTTGTGTAGTCTCCCCAACACGGCATGGAAGATTGTTGGTATAGAGATGCGTCCTCCGTCCGATGCCAACTTGAGCTTTTCAATAACAAGGGTTATTAAATCAAGGGAAGAGATCGGTCCGGCTTCGGATACAGTTATACGATCGGCGGTCGGTTTATGGAAAACGTCAAGCTTGATGATCATGACAATAGCGTACATCATCCTGGTAAAGACGATTACAGGAACTTGCTGTAGTGTATTGAAAGAGAATTTCAGGAACAACTGAACCAGGTTACGAGCCACACTCAGGCATTCTATGCGCGCATCAACATACTCTGGCGAATCTGGAGCGAATGCGTTCGCAGAGAGCAAAGTGTTTATGGCATATGGAGGGCGGAAATCTCGAAATTCGTGATTCTGATACAAACCTGGTTCATAAAGGGTGAGAAGAATGACATGGTAGTGTATGTCGAGAGTTACTTTAACTATTAGTTACTTGAGAAGAAGAGGGTGCTGGCAAACCTACGGGTCATGACCTCTGCTGGTAAATTCCGTCTCCAATCCTTGACACGGCCGAGACAGCCTTGTAGAATAAAACGGGTACGCGGGTCTGAATGATTATATTCTGAATTCTCATCTGACCCGACTCTGGCTATAGCAAGTGACTCCTCTGCAAGCCGCTGGAGTCTAATCCATGCTGCCAAGCGTCGATCACCGATATGTGCGCTCGCTGGAGATTCCAAAGTATTTATGCACTGTTGCACCCAAGTGCCATAGTGCAGCGTGCTCGGCCGACGGTATGACATGGCAATACTGGACATACGTCAGCATAACTGCTGTGAATTAGACGACCAAGAGGTGTTGGACCCTGAACATAGGAAGTAGCAAGCTGAGAACGCTCTCACGGTTTCCAAGTATTCCTTTGAATACATAGCCTTGGGATTAGGTGACGGAATTCGATGCTGCTCGTCATTTGAGGATTGCAGGTCAATCACCATAGCTGCTGCGATATTGATAAACTGGCCAAAGTTCAAATGCTGGAACTTGTCCGGTGGATGACTCCAAGTAACAAGAACCAGAGCAGCTTGTATGAGGTCCACAGATTTGCGACCGTAAATCATGGCTTGCTCCATGACATATCGCTCTGCATCTCGGAAGAGCGATGTCCAGAGCTCTGGTTTAACGCTGCTTGATGACGTTGCGAGTATGGCCCGGAAGAGTGCTGGTCGGTCTTGTTGCAAGGCTCGCCATGAGAGGGGAGCGTCAGGAAGTATCAGAGGGTAATGCGGTAACATGTGAGTGAAAAACTCGGTGCAAAGTTCATCTGCAAGTGATTCTTCCATTATTCCTCGAGATACAGGGTCTCCCTTGCCCGGCGATCCACTTGTACTCTCATAAGATGTGGAATGGCTGGGAGATGTGGTTGAAACATGTCCAAATGATAGAGATGAGTCTTGGGTACTCGCGGGCGTTATTGAGGGTTCCGAGATCGCCGGTATGCCTAGGTTTCTTTGGCCTGCTGTGGCGACAGCTCGCTGAACCTCCTCGAGCTTCTGTTCAAGCTCATAAATTCTTGTTTCATTTCGCCTCCGTCTTTTCCTTATTGCTGGAGCGTTAAAGATACATTCCATATTCAGCTTTCTGCAGCGCTTGCACTTCTCTGGCGAGGCCTGCGATGTGGTAGGGTCTGGGATACATCTGATCTTCCTCTTCCGACAGCCCTTGACTTGCATTAGCACAGGCGCTGGCGGGTACTGGTTCATCATACCTCGCAAGTTCTGTTCAGGCGAGCGTCCGCGGTACTTTCTGAGGCACTCATACTGTTGGGGTTTGTGTGTCTGTGACTCCCACGAAAGCGGAATGAATGAGGAGGTACGGTCGCGGCTTTGAAATGTGAGGCCGCGTGGGGACCGCTTTTTTGAGGCGAGGGCGGCATTTAATAAGGGACCGCGTGCCGATCCAGACGCGCGCTAGTCTGCGTAAGACGACCGACTCGTGGCTGGCGGTAGTGAGCTTCGTTTAGTGCTTACTTATTGTTTTCCGCTTACTATTGATTTAAATTTTGACATGCCAGTCCTTCGAGAGAAAGACGTTACAAGGGAGCAAGCTTTAGTAAGTCTAATAGCTTAAAAGTGAGTACAAGTAAAGGTCATCATGCTTATTGCAGTTCAGATCTTAAAGACTGTAACTAACTAGAATACATATCCATAGCGAGAGTGTCGAAAAGTATCTTAAGGACCGCAAAACAAAGAACATATACACCAAGCTGCCTTTCTTACCGCTACTTGGCTAAGGTCATCCTTATATCCAGCTGATGCCTCACCGCAGCGTATCAAACTGGGGCCGTGGTATAATCAACGCTTGCACAAGGCCGCGCCATTCTTCCAATCACCAATTGTCTTTGGGAAATAAACATAGTCAGTATGCTCAATAAGTTCCGAGACTTTACCGATCTGGCCATGGGTTGGGAGAACGCTGGGATCTAGTCAGCTTCTCTTTGATTTATGTGTAAAGTAAGGAAGCACTTACTAGGCACTTTCGGGCAGCCCATCCTTATCGAGCTGGCCAAGCCACTCACGCATTTCCCATCTGTCATTGTTAGCATCAGGCATACCGGGGTGCCAAGCGTCAGCCTCAATGACAGCAATGCCCGATTTGTTGGTAGGGCACCTGTCAGTGACAAAGGCATATGACCAGTCAATGGAGTGTGTGGCTTGCTGCTCCCAGATGAACCAGGCTTGGTGCTTGCTATCGCTATGGATGTAGGGGTGCGTTTCGCTTGTAGATGATTAGATCATGGCCCTCAGTCGATCGAGGTAGGAAACTTACTTGAAGGTGATGAGCTCTGCACCGGGAATGCTTGACCAGTAGCTTGATGCAATTTTGGGGACGATCAACTTGGCCCCAATTTTGACATACTCAGGAGCTCCTCCGCTGTGATCACGGTGATGGTGAGTAGGCTATGGTTGGAGTGTTACTTTCTTGTCACCAAGCCAGGGCCCACTCTCAGTATTAGGAACTCACCCAAAGATATTTGATAGGCTTGCCAATATTCCTCTCAATCCATTCGATGACTTGCTTAGTCCACTGGGCCGGTGCATCGCCGACGATAACATGATCCTCGAACTCAATCACGAACTGCTTAACCCCTAAAAAGCCGTCGTCGGGAATCAGCCAGTGAGCGTTGGGCAGACCCGGGACGATATGCTTGTGCTTAATACTGTCGACAGAGATGTTGCTGATGCCAGACCCAGGACCAGACCAAAGCATGTTGCTGCTGAATTCGAGAATGTGCGCATGACTAAGACCTTCAGTCCTCTTGGGCGCTTCTCTGGGAAAGAATCCTTTTCCTTCCGAGAGGCCGTTGAAGTAGTTTTTGGGAAATTTGGGATTGATAGTGATTTCCTCAACGATGAACTCCTCCAGTATTGCATCTAGCTTCTGCGTAGTAGAGTTATAGACAGTTTGGAACGTGTGTGGGAATTTGATGCCCTCGACCGCTTTGTATTGAGAAAGGTAAAGGTCGTTTGTCGAAGGTCCATAGATCATGTGATTCTCTTCTGTGCGGATGATGTGAGGGAGATGACTAGAAGCATCGAAGATGACGGTGATTTCGAGAACGGGATCATAAACTATGAGGGTTAGATCAGAGGATTTACATTCCGAGCTATAGACTCACCAGCAGGTGTCTTGATCCCATTGATCAAAACCTCAATGGCCTTGGTACCATAATGAGCTTTCATCTAGGTATGTCAGCAAGCTCGGCACTTGATGATTAGAAACTAATGTCTGATACATACCTCCAACAGAAGCTTTGGCGAAAAGACGTTTCCTTGCACGACAAGAAATTCTGCAAGGGCAGCTATAATCACGAACCAGTCATCAACTGACTTCAAGAGCAGGAACTGAACAGTGAAGGCTAAACTTACCATCAACGTATCCGGATGTAAGATTTGCAGGAAGCCAGATCTGGTTTTTTCCGCGAACGTAGCACGCAATTCCATCCTTGCCACCATGAACGACGAGAGAGTAGTCGAACTCATCAAGTCTCGCAGATGCCCAATACCAATACTCTACTACGGTGTAAGTCTATCACCTTGTTAGAAAGAGACATGGCATTACATACCGCTAGGCTTGAAGGTACGGTCAATTCGCTGAGTCAACTGATCAGAGGCATAGCTGAAGGATATGTTCTGAGAACCGGAAATTGCGACAGCCGTGTCTGCTTTGTCCAAGTTGTAGCTCTGCATAAGACTGCGGGAATGATAGACACTGGAAGATTTGATCAGTACTCAACTGACAGATACAATTGACGGACGTACTTTGGAGAGTGATAGGTGATCCCTTCAATTCCCGCAATTGCCTTCTCGCCGCCGAACGCGACCAGAGCTTGAGTGATGAGAGTATCAGCAGTCGGGAGGTGCAAAGGGATTGCCTTGGAAGCCGCAAATGCCACCATCGTGAATGAGATAGCGAGCAACTTCATAGTGAATACAAGGCGAATTAGTAATGGATGTATGACTCGAGGTGCATTTATTGTTGTGCGATATTTCCTTCGATGAAATGCCAGAAATACATTTCCTTTATAGATTTCCAGCTCACACAAGGAGTCAACCCTTGATTCAAATTACCAGGAAAACTCAGAACGAAGGTGAGGGTCATGGATAAGCGTTGAGGCTTAGCAGCGGAAGATGGTCTATAGTGGGTTACGCGGTCGATAAGTGAATGTCGAAGCTTACGGGCGGACTTTACAGAACATCCGCTGCGCGTCATGCAATAATTAAGGTCATCCGGACTAAAATGTGTCAAGAGTGGTGGAGACTTGTGGCTAAAAATTCAAGCAAGCAAACAGAACTTAGACTTAATTAACAATAAGCTGCTGTTCCAAGGACTGTCATCGTTCGGGCATACTGATAAACGTCAATGAAATTTAGTAACGCTAGAGGGAAATTTTACACTGCACACCTAAGTAAGCAAAGAAAGGACTAAAGATACTTAGATGATACGCTATCTGTGAGGCCATAAACTGAGCATTAAAAAATAATTACAGCGCCGTTTGCTTCAGCCCTTGTGTAGCTAACACCATGTACCTTGAATCCCTTCCGTTGAGAAGAGTGATAAAGCCGCCGTTGCTGGAAAGCGGGATGCTAGTTTCAATAGTCTTCGTCTCTGCTGCGCCAATGCGCGTGCCTGAGGGTAGGGTTTGAGTGTCTCCAGTCTTGATACGAATCTTCCATCCACTAAGATCCATTTCACCCCCAGTTCTATTCTTGAGAAAGATAGTCTCGAGGGCAGTGCCTGGCTGCTGATCGGTACCAGGTGGATTGACGAGAGCCTGGACAATGAACACAGGCGATTCTTCAATGTCGACTGTTTCCTTGCCGTCATCGGATCGCTAGGGGGCTAGAAGGTCTGCACAAGTGATAAAGTCTTGGTCAGGCAGTGGGTAGCCAGCCCGTTCGGGGCCGTCTTCGTTATGTACAGCCTGAGAGGCAAAGCCAATAAATACAGCCTCCCGATGATCTTCAAATTGAAAAATCAGACCACCGTCCTGGAAGGCGCTATTGTCTTTAAGCCAGCGTCCGGAATTTCCCTGCTTCATGTGGACGTTGTGTATAACCTTGCCGTCATTGAACTCTGAGCCGTAGATGTAAACTGTAGCTTGAGCTGAAATGGCCCTATCGATGATGGGCCTCAACTGGTTAAGGATGTCATTGTCTGCTCCGTTAACATCATGAGGGAGGATGCGACCACAGGCGCGGTTGAAGAGGTTACTACGGATGTAGTCCAGTGCAAGGCCATTAAGTCTCTGCTTCGATGCGCCAGTAAGACGCAGAAAGCCGTTATTGAGTTAAGCTAGCTTGGTGGTGATATTATAGGTAAAATCTGAAACTGTCCAGTAGGCCAGTCGGGACTCTTGTTGACATTTGTTTAATAATATTAATAAATATATTTTATAATATTTATATATATAATTAGATACCAAATGTTTTTTTATTAAAGTAATCGGTAAATTAAAATCCTTATTATATATAAATAGCTATACTTACTGCATTTCTGTATCAGTAACTCCTTCTATCAAAATGCTTAATATAGAGGCCAGGCGCCTTGAAAGATCCCAATGTCCATGTCTCCGTAAAATGTCAGTAACAGTATAGAGTGTAGTCGGGCCTATTTGTTCTGTTATATCAGTAGACAACGGCTCGTCTCCCTTCAATTCCAAAATATCGACATTTCTCTGTATTGCCAGTCCTCCAAACTTTATGTGACAATAGACGACAATGCCGGCGTGGAAGAGGGAGAGAGGTACATGGATAGCTGATTCTTCGCTGATAGCCTGCATGCTATATCTTTTTATGATGAGTGCAGCGTGCACAGCGCAACGAATGCCATCGTTGCTGCGGACCCAGCGACTGACCTCGTCTTCTTCTAACGAGGTAGGCGGCGTCCTGTCCCTACCCACGATCCGTTCAAGGAAGTCAAAATCTACGTAGAGCGCCATGAACGCTTGATGCCACAGTCCCACCAAGCTAAACTGATCGTGGTCCTTGTCAACAATACCTCCCACGATTTCGTCGTACCACAATGTAAGGCGTTGTCGAATAGTGGCTGCATGATCCTCAAGTGCACCACGGCATCGTGCCTCGGAAAGATGAGCATAGTGTCCAGCGAGCTGTGCATATGCATAAAAAGAGCTTTTGCACACAGGCTGGCTTGGGGAACACATAAGGACAGGGTCTTCGCCATTACATGCCCTCTGAGTCATTGATATAACCGCAGCATGCCAGTTGGAGGCCGTTGTGGCTGAGAATAACTCGGCAGAACAGCAAGTAGGCAGTCTATTCTGGTCATGCCCAAGAAGGCCTTCGTGATGGAAAATCTTGGTGAACTCTGAATCGTGTATCTGTAAAGCTAAAATAAGTCGCAAGGTTTCCTCTCGCTGGGCCCAACGCCTCCAACTGCCCTCAACATCAGTCATGTTAATGGTGTCGGTGGATTCGAAGGCCGTTCGCACCCTGAAAAGCCCCGCTTGTCTTGCCCAAGCGATTATTGTACCATGGAAAGAATCCGTCAGAAGCAGGTTGTTAGGTTGACCGGAAAGAATCCCGTAGGTTTGCCCTATTGTGGCAGCCTGGGCAACAGCCAAGGCCTCACATCCGCCTTTGTGGATATAGCGTTCCCACTGGCCAGATTAGACAGGCTCAATTTGACTACATTTGCATGTATGGAAAGCACGTACTGATGCCAAGATGGCCTTGTTCAACTTGGTGAATATCGCCTTCGCACACCGCGCGGCTCCGTCAGATCCCACAAAGAGAGCTCCTATTGAACAAATAGACAGGAGGACAAGTGCCTTGTCAGATGTTGGTCGAAATGTCGCGGAGTGGATGATGGGAAATAATGGTTGGAACTTGGAGAAGTAAAGTTTCACACAGAGATTCTAAGACCACAAAAGCCATTAGCTTGGAATATTCGAAGATGTGGTGAGCCGGCTGCCGAGTCTTACGAGAAATTCGGCAGAGGGAAGAGCTATGTCCTGTGGGTTTGGTGCGAGTCGAGTTGAAAGGCCGGCACGGTACTCTTCATCCACTTCCTCTTGATTCATAAAAGAGAACAAGGGTTGTGGTATGTCTGGCTCAGGTATCGGCCTTGTGTACCATCGGCTATGGACTGCCTTGTGGACTTCCATCTGCCTCTTAATAGAACGCGAAGTGGCTATTAAAGCATCGCCGGCAGTGTTTTCTGCTGACGACAGAGCTACGCTGAAGAAAGGCTCATTACTCAAGCCAGGGAGATGGTTAGCACTCAGAATCGCCGACCCCATGGCTTCTAAATCGAATTGGTCATCAAGCCACAGGTTGTCGGTGCATCTAGATCCATGCAGCAGTTCATATATAGAACCAGGAGGCTCTAGCCATGAATTATCCAGGCTATTATCATAGAGCTCTGCCGAGAATGCAGCACTATCCTGTGCTGGAGGTTCCGTGTCACTGGTGAGTGATCCAGATGTGCTGGGAGAGCATTGGGAGCCTCTCGGATCTATAAATCCAATCTGAGGAGTGATGCGCGATTCAAGATTGGTATGTTCGGCATTAATCCCGTGTTGTTGGCATTCTGGAGGAGAGTAAGAATTAGTAAACACAGAAGCTTTCAGGTCCTGAAGCTGTGGGGTGTCCTCTAAGGACTATCTGGGCCAACATTACCTGCATTATCACTGCCATCTACGTGCATACTACGTCTAATGCAGGAGTTCGTTCGCTCATGCCGCATAAGTGAATCTCTGCAAGATCCAAGAGTAAGTAGTCATGCCCAAGGATGAGAGGATGTACGGGAGTGGAGGTCAGCATACCGTCGGCTGTAGGCCTTGGGGCAATGCTTGCACACAAAGGGCTTTTGCTTTGTGTGGGATTGGGTATGTCTGACTAAATGCTCTTTCTTCTTGAACGCTTGACGACATTGCGGGCAATGCCATCTGCGCGCCTTGTCGCGTCCTGGCTGTCTCGGCGGGGCAGTAGAGGTCAGAGCCTGGGCACAGGGACTCTTATCGGAAGCAAAATCCATTTCGCCAGGAACAGCCTGACTGTGTCACAGGCGGGCGTCTTGATGAAGGTAGTCCCAGGTGACATGCTGAAGCTGGGGCGGGGATCTCAAGCGTGAGAGGGGTAGAGGCACGTGAGACATGGCCTTAGGGCTCACTAAGGCCTTTCTTCTCGGCATCGACAAAGCCGGGGTAATAGCCCCGGATTATGCCACACTGACCTCTTTTACCGGTCTGCCGGCAAAGCCGAAATCAAAGCCCGAGACATAGACCAGCAACGCTAGGAAGGATCCCAGACTAGCTATTGATTCTCGGAACTTTGAAGCGCTTTCCCTACACACTTCTTGCACGGGAGGCTGGTTTAATGCCGTGCCGATTTCTGCCGCCTTCTCCGTACCCCGTACCCCGCGAAAGGACATTGCTAACCCCACAGGATCTTTACTATCCCCGCATTATCAAGGCAGTAGTCCCCAGATCTTCAGATCGGCTTCGCGGAGGCAGACGACAAAAATTCCAAGCAACTTCCCCGCAACTAATGGAATGTCTGGGCATGGAAGAACGGGGAAATGAGACCTCGCAGCCAAAAGGTCAATAATTCGGGTCATTCAATGAAACTGCTTGTACATAAAGCTTTATGGGTACCGCGCCTCTGAGCAGCATTTGATCCCTCTGCTGTTGTAAGGATATCAGTGTTGGAATCACCTTGATTGTCTTGCCTAGTACACCCTGGCACCCTCAGTATATCATGTCCTCCTCTTTGCAATATCATGTTTCAGATGTCTCCAAGCTTCTGAGTCTCTTTCCACTGGCTGTTGGTGGACTGATACTCTACACGGTTATCAAGTATACCCTGGAGAGCCAACGCCCAAGCAAGTTCCCTCCCGGACCACGAGCTCTTCCCATCATAGGAAACCTGCATCTCCTCTCTCAAACCAAAGCCTTTGTCCAGTATTTAGACTCTTTCTATAAACCTTTAATATGATGCCTAGGAACTAACTCATATGTGCTAGGTTTAGTGACTGGGGACGTAAATATGGTACCATTATCGGTCTCAAGCTAGGTCCCCAAAATGTTGTCATCCTAAATGATTACAAACATGTGCAAGAGTAAGGCATGAACAGTAGCATACTTACAGTGCAGAGAGAGCTGACCTATTCTCACAAGACTTTTTGACAAGAGGGGATCAATTTACTCTGATCGTCCACCAAGTCACATCGCAAATGATATTATGTTCACTAACAACACGCACATCTTGTTTGTCGCTTATGGAGACAGTTGGAGGAAGTTGAGGAAAACGCTTCAGGGACTCCTAAACATCAAAGCAGTCGATCGCCTGCTTCCCATTCAAAACGCCGAGGCCACGCAGATGATGCATCAGCTTCTCCACTCCCCAGATGCTTGGTATGATCACGTCCGGAGATACTCAACTTCCGTTATTCTCGCGTCTGTATACGGCCTCAGAGGGCCAACCTTTGAACATTCCCGCGTCAAGTCGCTTTACCATGTCCAAGACCAACTAACCCGGATAGCTGAACTTGGTGCCACACCCCCAGTTGACGTATTTCCAGTCCTTCAGTACTTGCCTGACTTCTTGTCACCTTGGCGAACATGGGCTCGAAATATCAGAAAAGAGCATCGAGCTCTCTACTTCAACTTGCTGCGCGAGACGCAAGAGTTGGTTGCTGAGAAGAAAGCACCGGAAGATTCATTCATGGTACGCTTGTTGAGAGAACAAGATACGAACGGCCTTGACGACGAACACCTGGCCTATATTGGAGGTACCCTCGTAAGTCCTGATATTCCTCTTCTTACAAAGCCACATCCACGTATACAGGGATTTATTGGCTAACGTGGTGCAATGATGTCAGATGGAAGCTGGCTCAGATACAACAGCTTCTACATTACTGTCTTTCATTCTTGCCATGGCGCTTTTCCCTGAGTCTCTCGCAAAATGTCAAGCAGAAGTGGACTCTATCTGTGGCGCCGGGAGATCACCAACTTTCAATGACTTCGAGTCACTCACATATCTCAAGGCTGCAATGAACGAGGTAAGGGCTCCATCCATGCTATTATCTTCGCATCGTACACCAACCTAATTGGGTGAACAGACTCTTCGCTGGAGGCCCGTGGCCGCCGGAGGAATCCCGCATGCACTGACCCAAGATGACTACTACGACGGCTATTACCTACCAAAAGGGACCATTCTGTTTGCAAACACCTGGGCGATACACCGTACGTCCGACTACGATGCTCCAGATCAGTTCTATCCCGACCGGTTCCTGAAAAACAAGTTCGGGACTGTCAATGATGCTCGCCCTTCTGACGACAAGAGAAGACCAATTTGGGGATTTGGTGCTGGGCGACGCGTGTGCCCTGGTCAGAGGCTGGCGGAAAATTCATTGGTACCTATCACCCCAGAAGGACAAGAAAGAGACTATCGAATATGCTAATAAACAAGTAGCTCCTGAATATGGCAAAATTGGTTTGGGCTTTCAATATGAGGCCTGCTGTGGATACTATCGACAGCTCGATAGAAACAGGGTATACTGGGGGTTTCCTTGTCACGCCGAAGAAATTCCCCTTGTATCTTGTACCGCGGTCAGCAGATAGGCAAGCGGTAATTGAAAGAGAATTCTCGGAATGTTCGGACATATTTAGGCAATTTAAAGGATAGGGTTATATACTTTAGATAACTATATATTAATTTATAATTTATTTTAAAAATAAATTTTAAGTTTTTCAGTTTTATATATTAAAAGAAGCTCTTAGCTATAAGTTTTAAAATTTTAATAAATATATTAAAGTGTTTAATAT